AGGGCATCAGGCTTATGTTCTTGGGTTGGACTCCTTAACAAGTTTATTTTAACGCTCTTTGGAAGCTGATATATTAAATTATACATAATTATAAAAAAGTACATAAAATAAAATATTTTAAAAAAAAGTACATAGCTAAGATACAAAAAAGAAAATGTCTATTTTGTAAAATTTTTTTCTAAAAATTTTAGCAAGACATTTATTAAGCACTGAAATTTATGGTCATTTAATTTAAAATTTTTTATTTTTAATACATCTTAATTCATGCGTATTTTTTTTTTGAAAAATAATTTTATTTTTAAATTATATTTATGCATTAAATATTTATTACTAATAGTTTTATAAGAGAATTTTAATATTCCGTTTATTTTAGAATATATCACTTGTTTTAATTTCAAAATTTGTTAATATCCGAACTCCATAATAGTATAACAAAAATATTGTAACAAATACACTGTAACAAAGACAGTGTATTGCTACAAAAATAGTGTTTAGTAGTTCTGTGTATGTAGTAACAATTTCAAAACGAATATGAATTGTTTTGAATAAATTATATTAAAATATATGTTTGACAAAATGTAATAGTACAATATTTTGTGTAAATGACTTGTTATACTGTTATTCTTTCACTGTTACACTGTTCGGATATTAATATCATTTGAAAACAAAACCACTTTTTAAAAAAAATACGCATGAATTAAGATGTATTAAATATAATTTGAAAACAAAATTACTTTCCAAAAAAAAAATACGCATGAATCATGGGGGACATACAAATATGAAATATTAAAATTCTTTCATAAAATTAGGAGATGTTTAATGCACCACTTTTCAAAGAAAATACACATAGATCAATGGAGGACAAAAATGTCACAAAAAATCAGTAAAATTCAAATAATGTATTTAGATACAAATAAGTATTAAAATTAAGGACTTAATTATTCAATATTTTTTTATGTTTATTTTTTTACAATTAAGTCTAATTTAGTGTACCTCTTTCTAATTTTTCTTTTATTTTATTCTCTCAAATTTAAAGAACCAAGGCCGGTTCGATGTAAATGGAGGCTCTATGCAAAATCTTTAAATGGGGTCTTTTTAAAATTTATTATGAATATATTATATGATTAATATTTTATTTAAAAATTATTCTTCTCGTTTTTTGTGATGTAAATTTAATGATTAAATTTTGACATTCAAATTTCGCAAATATATAGCTTTCAATGAATAATATAAACTAATTCATTCAATTTTTCTCGTAACAAAGTTAATCGTAAATACAATTTTATAAGTTTGAATTTTGAATTTTTTTTTCAAGTAGTTATTGTTAAGAGTATTGTCAATACTATTTTATGAACAATGCATGCGTTTGAACAAGAGTAATGCTACGTGGACTTAAAAAGTAGACTTATAAGCTAAACACGATAATTTGAACCATTGATTTCACTGTAGGTTCTAGTATTGATTTCAATGATTGAGATTATCAAGTTTAATTTTTAAATCTAGTTTTTAAGTCCGTCTAGCATTACTCTTTGAACAATAATTTAGTCTTTTGATATGAAAAATACTATTTGGACCTAAAAATCTGACAAGATTTGTTGACCTAAAGACGAGATTTTATTAAAACTATTGGATTAACACCAATTTTTAATATTTGATGGAACTCACAATCAATTCAAAAATTATAATAAATTAAATCAATAAATTAGTTCTCAATAACATTCCTCCTTTTGATATAACTTAACTAAATAAGAAGTCACAATAATTGCATAGGTGATGTAGGTTAGGCATTAATTATGTTTAGTGGTAAAAATTGGAGAGAGGGAGAGAGAGTTTCTAAAAAGTTAAAACGGGTAAAATTGTATAAGTTGACTTTTGAGGTGATGGTTGAAAAAGTTTTTAAAATGTTAAAAGGAATAAAATATTTGATTAAAAAGAGAAAGATAGTTGAATTTTTTGTTTTAATTTGGGCTTTTTTTACTATATATATTTAATTGGACCTATATAGATTAATCTTTTTTGGTTATATATAACATAATTTGGGATCCCTATTTTTTAGGGGTCCTATACAAACATTTATGTTTGAAAAATTTAGAGTTTGGTCCCCTTATATGTAATATGTTTAATAAAAATAGTAATATGTTCAACAAAAAAAATAGTAATATGAAACATTGAACAAAATTGAAAATAAAAATAGTAGCATTCAAATCCATAATTGTAGGAAGAAGTTTCCAAGTTTTCAAAATTTTAATTGTTTTTTGCATTCCTAATTTCAAAATGTGATTCCTTGTTGTTAAATCAAATAATATATGTTTCAATTTTTTGGATCTTTTGTTGTGCAATACAATCGAAAAATGCGTGATTGTGTTATGGGAAAATGTTAATGTTACTATGAGGGAAAAGAAAAATCATTTTTACATATTTGATGTCTTGACATTAACAAGTTGTGATGAGTGTCTTAATTCAAGTGACGATTATGCGTTACTACTCTAAATAATATAATTTTTTGATTTGTGGATTGTATTTTGTGAAAAGTAAGGAAAAATTATTGTTACTGTAAAATAAAAAAATATTTCATTTATGTTATTATGCAAAAAACTATCTCGTTAATGTTACTATGTAACATATATTTGCATGAGTTTTGTTAAAATCATTGTGTTAGTGTGCATAAAAATTTGATGTTGCTGTGAAGAAAAAAAATAGATGTTATATTACAATTTGCAATTATTATTGTGAAGGTTTGCATTTGTTTTTAAATGAGATGATCTTCGAGAGAGAGTATAAATTTGAATTTCAATTTAAGCGTAAATTAAGGGATAATAATTTTTAGTTTGAGAAATTAATTTAAAACTACTTTCAAGGTCTTTTAATGTTTTTATAATTGAACACAATAGCACTATTAAAAATGAACTTAAGAATTTATTAATAAGATAAAAAATAGATTTATCACCAAAATTTTTTTTTTTACGGATTCAAGTTATTATAAGTTCATCTAAAAGGACTCAACCCTAATTTTCACTTTAAATGTTATCAGTCTATTGGCCGCCTATAAAGGATATGATGATATCTTTCAATTAATTTATATCATATTTGATTTATATCACGTTTCACTCACATTAGACAAATCTCTTTTTCCATATATACATACAAATTAATATTTATAACAGTTAATGGATGAATATCATAATCGTTTATTATCTAACTAGTGGGGTATAGAATAATCTTAAGAATATACAAAATACCATTGAAATCATTGGATTATCCGTTAATGAATGGGCAATGTTGCACTATTTCCTTAGCAGCTATTTCCTGTACTCTAGTAGATTGGATCAATGAACTTTTCAAGAAATCTGAGTATTTTATTTATGCATAGTTCTTTTTTGACCAATGATGGTCAAATATGGTAGTCTGCAGAAATAAATACTTTAGCCCACAATAATAACATAAATACACACACACACACACACATATATATAAAATAATTGTTGATCTTAATCCTATTGATCTCTCAAGTTGATGGTGGGAAGATTACAATCAGATTTGGATTCAATTGCGGCTCTCTATTCAATAATATTATTTGGATTAAATTTGTCGATCTAATTTATCATAAACATTAATATAGTAGTAGATTTTTAATAAATAATAGGATTTATTGTCAATTTAATGATTATAAATAATTAAATAATAAATTATATTAGTAAATTAAGCATAAATAATATTACTCTATTTTATTATTAAATTTAGCCCACCCTGCTGGGAATTCCAAAGTCCAAAGATACCTGTGGATGCCACTCTTGACTGCCAGGTCACAAATATGGAATGTGGGGTTTATATGTCAGCTTTGCTCGAGACTTGAGAGTATAAAATTGACAATTAAAAGCTGATGATTTATTCATTTGTTTGTCATTATTATTAAAATGTCCAAAAAACAGAATTGTCCGATAAATTCACAGGGAAATGAAATAGGGAGTTGTCTACGTGACCAAAAAAAATAAAAATTGGGGAGTTGTCTATGGTATTAAAAAAATAAATTTTGGTATCGTATTGACTTTTGATTATATTTATGGGTATTTTTATTATATTTATAAGTATTTTTACTATTGTTATACTATTCAAAAAAGTGATAAAAATAGTGATCATAGCAATGGTAACAAATACGGTAAAAACATCTACAAAGGTGATAAATCATACACAAATGTGATATATTTATTTGTACTTAAGAAAAGTGATAAAAATAGTTACTATAACAGTGGTAAAAGCGTAAAATAACCCACAAATGTAATAAATTATTTACAAAAAGTGATAAATTTTTTTTTGTTATAAAATGAATTATAAAAATTATAAAAATATTTATTAAAATAATAAATTTTAGAGGTATGACACCAAATTTTTGCTTGTATAATAGTTGTAAAGCCGCCCATCTCCATTCTTAATTTTGCTTGTATAATACTAATAATAATAAAAAAAAAATAATTCACAATAAAAGAGCCTGACGTGGAAGCAAACCTTGAGACCACAGCAATAAACCAGCTTGATTGTTGATACGCTTCTTTGGCTTCACATAATGGCTACATTTATTATCCAAAAGCAAATAAACAAATTAAGTGCAAATTATATTTTGGTCCTATCAATTATACTCCTTTCTTATTATTATCCCTTGAATTATCATATTTTTTATATTATCCCCCTCAGTTATGAGATTAATTTTACATTGTACTAATTATTAATGTTTGTTATAAAGTTAAAGGGAAGTTATTTTATTTTGTCTGCCTGATACAAATAGTTGAGGATAAAATATAAAAAAATTAATTATTTTAATTTAAGGGGGTCAAAGTGTAATTTTTCGAACAAATAAATAAACAAACTCAATGGAAAAATTCGTAAAAGGACTAAAAATGGGGGGCAAAACGAAAACAGCTGGGCTCTGAATTTACAAAGTCTGCATTTAGGAGAATTCCCTCGCACTTCATTCTGTTTCTATATATACCCAACGGAGCCACAAGAGTTCCACACTCCCGGCGGACCTCTCTCTCGCGAGCGAGCGACCTTCCAAGATTCTCTTTGCCTTTCTACAGTGTTTCTGATAAGCAGGAGCTAGTTACCGAGAGAAATTAAGAGAGGAAGACAGTTGCAGTTTGGATCTGTTTGTTTCCCGAGTCTTCGTGTGAGTTAACGAAGCGAAAGAGAAGGAAGAAAAATGGCTTCGGAGAACAAAAATGTTGGGATTCTTGCCATGGAAATCTACTTTCCTCCCGCTTGCATCCAGCAGGTAAATACACTCACACACATACACGCATTAATCCACTCTGACGCAAAGCTTTCTTTTTTCGGGTCTTTTATTCGATCGAGGGAGAACGACCTCCCTCTCTCCCCCCCCTTCTCTCTGTCTCTGTCTCTCTCTCGTTTTGGTTGTGTTTGAGTTAATTTTTGGAGAGAAGTAATTATTGTTGTTTTGTTCTGGGAAAGGGGTACTGTGATTTATTTTTGGCATAAGGTTCTTGAATACATGATACATCCCGCCTTTTTCATTTTCATGTTTAGATAAAAACAAATGGAATTCAATACCGGATGTTTTGATTATATGCAAAATTCTTATATGTGATTATGGATGGTGCTTATTTTTTATTTTTTTTTGAGCTGGAGATTTGTTGATTAATCTTTTGATATTCGCCTTGACTTTTTTTATTTGTATACTACTTTGGCCGGGTGGATTCAGATTTCTAATACGGAATCTATAAGCAATAAGCATGGATTTTCAGAGGCTTAAGCCTCCTTTGCCCACCTTAATTTATGGATTGATGTTTATGGTTATGTGCACTCTCATTTTACCATTTAATATGCTGTGTAGGAAACTTTGGAGGCTCATGATGGAGTAAGTAAAGGGAAATACACCATTGGACTAGGACAAGACTGCATGGCATTTTGTACAGAAGTGGAAGATGTGATCTCTATGAGGTTGTAACTCTTCTTCTCATCATGGATTCGTCTATAACTTCCACTAATTCTAGATTCAGAATATTCATATTGTGTTGAACCAAGATATGTGAGGATTTTGGGGCATCTCTGCATTACTAAGAAGCATGGATACGGACACGGGTGTCGTATCCGATACGATACGGACACGATGATACGGCAAAATCCCAAAATGTAGGATACGGATACGGTGAGGATACGACTAATTAAAATAATTATATATATTTTATATATATAACAATAACATTAATAATAACAAACAAGACATAGCAAACATTACTTAAATTGAAATAGATCAAAATTCAAAAAATATATATAATTTTCAAAACCAGCCGGCAGTAGCACACCAGCACAGAAGACAACAACACAGATGACCAAAAAAAAAACTAGCGAAGAAAGCATAACAAAAAAAGAGAAGACCGAAGCACAACAAAAAAGAGAAGACCAGCGGGCAGCAAGCAACACAGCACCGAAAGACAGCAAGTTAGGAAAGCAATTTTCAATATTTAAAACCAGTTGGCAGCAGCACACTAGCACAGAAAGGCAGCAACACAAATAACCAAGACCAAAAAAATAATCCCGAAGGCAGCAAGCAACACAACATTGGACCAAAACAAAATCTCCAAATTTTGAAAATCCTAAAAATCCCCAATCAAATTAACCTAATCAAATTTTTTGAAAGTCCACACTCCACACTGACTAGAAGATGAAGAGGTAAGAGTAGCAGGAGATCTGAAAAAATAAAATAAAAGCAAGAAGAAGATCGCAGTTGCAAAACGCGATCGCAGGCGCAGGTGAGTCGCCCTTCCTCTTCCCTCTCCTTCTTCTCCTCCTCCTTTGGTCCTCTCGAGCTCCTCCTCTTCTCTCCTCTCTTTCTCTCTCTCTCTCGAACACACCGAATGTTGATTGGAGTCGGTTCATAGATCAACGACACTTTAGTTTTTTTTTTTCAAGCCAAATGACGTAGCTTTGGCCTTTTTCTTTTTTTTTTCATTTCGACCCACCTAAGTTTTTAAAATAACAAAAGTACCCCGCCGTATCCTTCAAGTATTCCCACGTATCTGAGACGTATCCGATCAAAAAAATGACAGCCACTATTCAGGACACTTCTACAAGTGTCGGACACGTATCCGATTGTTGAACACGCGTACCCGTGTCGGACACTGCCACGACGACCCCCCGAAGAGAATTCGTGCTTCCTAGCTGCATTATAATCACATGACATTTAAATTCAACCATCCTCTATAACGTCGCATTTTGTAGTTTCTTTTCATGAGATTAATTTTACACCTGTTGTACTTGTTCAAAAGTCAAATATTTGATGTGAAAAACCCATAACAAGAAGAAACTTACATTATCCAAGTTAATAATGATGACCGTGAAAACTGCATCACCCCCCCCCCCCACCCCCCACAAACAAAAAAAAAAAGAGCAGATTGGGACTAGGTTCCTGAACCTTGCCGAATAAAGTAATATAACTCTAATTTATTACTGACTTTTTACTAGAAAAATGTCATGCTACCCGTTACTATCTTTTACTTTAAATTTGCATTGCAGTCTTACTGAGTATGTGCTTTATTATATTAATTTAGCTAGTGTTCCCTAGGGAGGTCTATCTTTTTCTTTTTTTTTTAATTTTTAATTTTGCATTTCTTACCTTCGTAAGGTAAGAAATATTATTGGACCAAAGGTCCGTTGGTAAAAGAGGAAAATTGTCCTAGGGAGGTCTGTCTTGGTATGCATTTAGTGTTCTTTTATGCTGCTTTAAACACTTTCCTAGTTTTTATGTTATTATGTTCTACCAATTCAGAGTCCTTTAAAGGATTAACTTATATTTTTGGTTATGTAGTGTGCATACGATATTTTCTTACTCTTTGATCTACAGTCTGACAGCTGTTACTTCACTTCTTGAGAAGTATGGGATTGACCTGAAACAAATTGGTCGGCTTGAAGTGGGCAGTGAGACTGTTATAGACAAGAGCAAATCCATTAAGACATTCCTCATGCAAATTTTTGAGGTATCTACCAATTGAAACTGGTGCCTTTACATTTGAAATTATCTCATCTTCTATGGTTGGTTGGTGCTATGACCATGTGGTAGTCCCTTGGAACTCGTTATATTGAAATATCAGATCGAGGCATGGGGCAATCATTATTAAGTTGTATGTTTAGGTTCCAGTCACTCAGCTGAACCTTGATCCACATATTTGGTTCCTTGATTAGATTCCAAATAACCTTTCGTCGACGCCCCTGTTACTATGAGATTCAGGGTATTTTAGTTTTGTTATTTTTATGGTTGGATTGCCTGTATATTTTCCCTGCACACTTCAATTTGCTGCAGTTTGTATTTTTTTATTAATCTTGTGTCTCACAAAATTGTCCAACTCTTTTGCCATGTTAAACAACCAGGGATGTGGAAATACTGATATTGAAGGTGTTGACTCAACCAATGCATGCTATGGGGGAACTGCAGCATTGTTCAACTGTGTCAACTGGGTGGAGAGTAGTTCATGGGATGGACGCTATGGGCTTGTTGTATGCACAGACAGTGCGGTATAATGTTCACCTTCATTTGTTTTAGCTCATCATTAATTATGAAGAATGAGTTTTAGCTCTCTTTTTGTGAAATCTTAGCTGAATTTTGAAATCAAATCCCATTGGTTGCAGACAAATACACTTCTAATTGGTATCCAAGTTGAGCTGGGGTAAATAGTGGGATAAGGCAGTTCTAAGAAATATCTGATTGGATGTTGTGTTCACCGGTGGTCCAATAGAACTTGCTAATCAGCATTCTTGACTTTATATATTATCCAGCCAAACTCTTATATTGAGCATTTGCAATTTTGCACCAGCAAGAAACTTAGTAGTTTCGAGGTTCATTTATATTTCTGATGTTGTGGGATTTGGTTTACTTTTACAAATGCATCCATAAGTGTATTTGGTGATTTAGATTCGACACAACTTTTCGTGGTCAATTATTTTCTATTTTCAATTTTCAGTTATGTCCTATTTTAACAGGTCTATGCTGAGGGACCTGCTCGGCCAACTGGAGGAGCTGCAGCTATTGCTATGTTAATAGGGCCAGATGCTCCTATTGCATTTGAAAGCAAATTCAGGGGAAGTCATATGTCACATGCTTATGATTTTTACAAGCCCAACCTTGCTAGTGAATATCCGGTACTTGATTCAAATCCCATGTACTTTTGTCTTGTCTCTTTTTTTATTATTGGTTATATTTTTCTTGGATTACGTGTTTCTATCATGTTTCAAGGACAGGGTCAAAATTTTGTGTACTGTCATGTCTTTACTGTGACCTTGGATCTAAAAAATAGAAGAATAAAAAGCATTTCATTGTGGTTTAGTTCTTTCAGCAAAATGTAAATGTGATCATTGAAGTTGCCATAGGAGTATACAGCAAAAACAACATATATAGGTTTTAAAACAATATCTCAGTTACTATCTCCTCTTTATTCCTATCCATTGACAATTCCTTGGTTGGCACTTTAACAAGCTTTAGTTTTTCTCTAAATTGATTAAAGGAGGATGATTCCATTTATATTTGTTTACATCATATTTCATACTTAAAATTTCATTAAAATAAAAGGGCAAACAACTAATATACATAACGTATACAAACAAAAAACAACAAAAAAGAGACTAATTGCAGTGACAATCGCAATTGTTAAAATTGGTGCCATAGTCACATTAGTGAAATAATAGATACAACCTATTTTTTCTAGTTGTAGCCAATTTTTGTGCAATATCATTAATCCCTATGTCCAAACGTGTCTGAAAGTTCATAGTCTTTTAGGTATTGGTCTATGCTAATTGACTCAATTCAACTTCACAAAATTTTTACCCCAAGCATGTTATGATCGGAAAGGATCAAAGTATTGTTTCGAAACATCTGAAACGTTTCTATTTCCAAGGAGATCAAAACAAATCAGTGATGAAATTGAAATTCTAATACTTCGAGATGTTCCATAATGTTTTGTTATATTTCAATGCATTTGTACAATTATTTCGGAATATTTCAAGGTATTTTAAGATATTTTAGTATATTTTAACCAATGTTTTAAAAAAATAATTTTTAAAATTTTTATTTTTTTCATTCTGCTTTCAAAACTGGTCTAAAAATTTTCGTTTCTTAGGTGACCGAAACAATACACCGAAATAAAATTTTGATCCTTGACCGGCTACATGAATTATGTTTCTCCATTGTATTCTATCACTATCCATAGTTTCTATCATCCCGTAAACTATTATATCCTTTTCTGCTATCTAATTCAAAGTTAATTTCAGTCTGCCTGTACCTCCCGGATTACCATCGTTACTAATTGATATAATAGGGTAGGCGTAATTAATTTTATGCAAGAATATTGAACGTTTATATAGGTGATTTTATGGAAAAACAATTAAGGGTGGATGTGGAAATGTGCCCACCATAGGCCTAGATTGGGATTTGCTTAGTCTATGGCCCTAGGCTAAGAAATAGCCAATGATAAAAACTTAAAAATTTGAAGTTCCATGTCATCTCACCTGAAAGTCATTTTTCATGTTCTTATTTCCTTTGGGAATATCCTGCAATTTTGAAATTATCCACTTGGGGAAGATTCTGCTCTTACTCATCAGGCCATAAGAAGATACTAAGTAACTATTCTAGGACCTATAGTAGAAACTGGTGTTATTCCATTTGGAGGTGAGAAAGAAAGCACCTCCAATATTTTTGATGACCTTCAAAACTTTGCCTCAGAATTATTTTGATACCCTGCAAATTTTGCTTGAGTTGCGTTCTTGAGCATATTGTCTTCATCTGAATTGAAATGCATGTTCTCCCACAAAACAATCTTATAAAATATAGGTATAAATATCCTCAAAGGCATGTGTTTTTTTAAAAGAACATTTGATTGTGTTGAAACACATTTCTTGTGGAAATTAAAAGGCAGGGTTAAAGCTGCAATGCACCTGTATATTTTCACTGGCTTTCTGGCTCTGGTCAACTTCAGAACCACAAATTGTTTTTGAAGTTTCCTTCAAACACTTGAAACCTTCTAAATTTATGTTTTGTTATGGAATGCCCTCAAACCAAACAATCAAAAAGTTGACTGTTTGTTGTGATTTCTGCATGTGATTATCTAAAAGTGGCAATTTTCCTTATTCCATCTTTTAGACTCTCATCTGATGACAATTATGGCTTGTAGGTTGTTGACGGCAAGCTTTCACAAACTTGTTATCTCATGGCACTCGATTCTTGCTACAAGCGTTTTTGTCACAAGTAAATTGCTGTTGCAATTTTGGATGCACTTTCCTTTGTTCTAATGTGGTCTTTACTTGTTATTATTTTCTTTCTAAATGTCTTGCTGTCCTGCATGCTGTAGATATGAGAAATTGGAGGGCAAACAATTTTCAATGGCTGATGCTGACTACTTTGTCTTTCATTCTCCATATAACAAGGTAGTTGATCTCGTGCAGTTATGATCTTGCAATTATTGTACATGTTTATTGTTGGAATTTAATTAAGGGATTACCTGAGGAAATAGTGTGTTTGAACTTTTAACTTGAATTATTGCAGCTTGTACAAAAGAGCTTTGCCCGTTTGTTGTTCAACGATTTCTTGAGGAATGCCAGGTGGTTATTTTTCTTCACCATGAAAATATTAATTTTGCTTTACATGAGAATTCCATTGATTGATAATATTTGCTTTTATTTGCAGCTCTATTGATGAGGTAGCTAAAGAAAAGCTGGGACCTTTTTCATCATTAACTGGTGATGAAAGCTATCAAAACCGTGATCTTGAAAAGGTTTGTTTTAGTCCTAACACTTTTTTTTCTTCACTTCATTAATTGTAACAGATTCTGGTTATCTCTGAATTCTTTTTTTCAAACGGGTATCTCTGGATTCAATACCACAATTGATAGTGAACAAGTTAAATCCGAAGTTTTATTGTTACTCATTAAATGGTGTCTGAGAATTACATAATACCGAGGTTGGAACTACTAATGAACCTAATATCAATGCATTCCACCAACAGGCATCGCAGCAAGTTGCGAAGCCGTTTTATGATGCAAAGGTGCAACCAACCACTTTGATACCCAAGCAAGTTGGCAACATGTACACTGCATCGATCTACGCTGCATTCGCATCGCTTATTCACAATGAGCATAGCTCACTGGTAATTGCTTAAAAATTATTTGCCTTTTTGCTCATTTGAGGTTGTTTGCTTCAAGCAATAGCATTTTTTGTCTAGTTTCTGATTGTTTTTATTACTTACAGGCTGGCCAGCGGGTGGTAATGTTCTCTTATGGGAGTGGGTCAGCTGCCACGATGTTTTCATTCCGTTTTAGTGATGGTCAACATCCTTTTAGCTTGTCAAACATTTCAAGTGTGATGAATGTTGAGGAGAAGTTGAATTCAAGGCGTGAGGTATATTTCATTCTCTGTCCTGATTACTTCTTTACATAATATTTGGATAGTATTCCTGACCCTGCAAAGCTTGAATCCAATTACTTTCGGTTGGATCCACTAAACCTTCATTGCCATTCTGCTCTATTATTTCATTGGAATGAATTTGAATAAACGGGTTTCCATGCAGTTCCCTCCAGAAAAATTCGTCGAAACCATGAAGCTGATGGAGCACAGGTATGGTGCCAAGGACTTTGTGACAAGCAAGGACTGTAGCCTTCTAGCTCCTGGCACATACTATCTCACTCAAGTCGACTCCATGTATCGAAGATTTTATGCCAAGAAGGCTGGGAACAGCACCCCTAGCGCCACTTGTGCCAATGAATCATTGGCAAATGGTCACTGAATATAGGCTCAACACAGTGTAATGGCGTGTTAAGTTGGTTCTAGTGTTCTTTTAGATGTCAGCACATTGAAGAATAAGTGTGCTTTCGTAAGGTTGTTCTATATGGTGTATAATTCGTTGGACAGTAATTGTTTCAGTTCTTTTCATAGTGGAAATCCTCCTTTCTGTGCTGATTTTATTTAAATGCGATAAGCAAATTTATTAACTCTCTTCTATATTTTAATGAAATTTGTTGAGCAAATCCATCCACTGCCTACCTGGGTGTATTGCCACCAAGTCTCTGAAAATTTGGAAAATGAAGGTGTTAATACTGTTTGATAAGAATGTATCGCAGTGTTCTTGTTAAACGACAATCTGCATACCCTAAAAGTTGAAGTTATTCGAGAAGATATAACTTAAAGTATCTATATTCTTCGACAGTTTTAATATTTGTATCAGCGGTGTATTTAGATCCTATGGCCTTGTGTATCAAACACATTGGGAGCCTCGCTGGAGGTATACCAAATTATGTTAAGAAGTGAGGCGAAAACGAGGTCTTATGTTTTTAGACTGAGCTTCATCCTTGGTGGACACTAATGATCTGTGTTGTCACGGAACTAGATGTGACACCTTAAAATTCGGGTGTCAGTAATTATCCAGTTGATCACCCATCAATCTGCGAAATATTTGTGGATACCGTGAAATTCGATATCATGTTGTTATGTCTCATTTACCGAGATTTATAACTTAATAAAATTTGGGTAAAGTCTCATTTGTACGGAGAGCTCTACCCAAAACGTAACTTGTGCAATCATATAACATTGACTACACCGGACTCATTCATTCCTACTCCTTAGCATAGTATCAGATACTACTATAATCATCATTACGTACATTCATTTATAAAAGAATAAATGTCTCAAAAGAGTCCCTTATACATGCTTTTTAAATATAAACAAGTTTTTGTTATAAAAATTATGAAAGGCCAAAAATAAATATAAACAAGGGACTACGATGTCAAAAGAAGAACCATAGATCGGTTGTGGAGAGTTTCAAGAGCTCTTCATGAAGAAGTATCTCCCACTAGTTGTTCGGGAAGTCAAAGCCCAAGAATTTCTAAACTTGAAGTAAGAAGCAATGACAGTTATGCAGTACGTGGTCAAATTCACAGAATTGACACGTTTTACGGATGACTACGTGGTCACTGATTTGGCCAAGGTGCGGAGGTTTGAGAATGACCTAAAGCTATCCATCTGTGGTAAGATTGTTGACCACAAGTTGCATGACTTTGAAGAAATGGTCGAGACAGTCATGGCTATAGAGAGAGGGGTGGAAGACGCCAAGAGTATTCGAGAGGCTAGATCAAAGGACAGGAAGAAAAAGGGACAATCCTCCACTACTAGCTCGGGGAAGAGGCAAAGGATTTCTATCCCACAGGGATTACAGGAATAGGGCTGAGGCTATCAAGGCCAAAGCCAAGGCCATGCTCAATCTCCCCAAGGCGAGAGAAATGCTAGGGGCACACAACAGTCAGGCCACTTGAAGAGAGAGTATCTTCAGAGGCAGGGATCTCAGAACTACGGGACATCTCCATCCCAGTCATCAGTGGGACATCCACAGACCTACTTCATTCCTTCTGACCCGACAAAGGGCCAGAGAAATCAGTTCCAGTTTCAGGGTGCAGCACAGGCTCCTACCACTTCACGAGCAAGGACTCTACAGTCAGGCCAGATAGGTCAGGGCATGGGTCGGGGCCGAGGCCGGGGTCAGGGACTTCAAGGACCCAGGGATGAGTCTTTGTCATCACACCACAAACTTTACCAGTAGATCAGTCGATAATTCAGGGTACATTTCTTCTCTCTACATTATGGACTAGAGTATTATTTGATTCTGGTGCATCATATTCTTTTATTGCTACATCATGCCTACGAGACTTGGACTTAGAGGATGAAACTCTAGAGGAGCCCATGTATGTGAGTTCACCCCTAAAAGACAGAGTTTGTATTGACAAGATATGTCGGGGTTGTAAGTTAGAGATCGAAGGAACGCAGCTTACCGTGATCTTAGGGTCATCGAGATGACGGAGTTCGATGTCATACTCGGGATGGATTGGTTGGTGGCACATAAGGTCGTCATTGATTACGAGCGCAAGAGGGTTACAACCTACACTTCAGACGGGGTTTGTTTTAAGTTTCAGAGGGAGAAGCATAATGCTTTACCCCATGCCGTATATGACTTCTGATGGCACGGACAGTTGATAGGTTGGCTTGTCAACCTTACACTGGAGGACGAGGTGAGACATGAGTTGGGTCTACCTCGAGTCGTGTGTGACTATGAGGATGTCTTCCCAGATGAATTACAGGGATTACCACCACATCAAGATGTAAACTTCACCATAAAGTTATAGCCCGGTGCATATCTTATTTCTATAACAACGCATAGGATGACACCAATGGAGTTGTAAGAGCTTTAAGTTAAATTACAAGAGTTATTGGACAAAGGCTTTATTAGGCTGAGTAATTCACCTTGGGGTACTCCGGTGCTATTTGCCAAGAAGAAGCATAGGACACTTAGGCTTTGCATGGATTACCAGCAGTTAAACAGGGTCACTATCAAGAATAGGTACCTTTTGCCACGTATTGATGACTTGTTTGACCAGCTGAGAGGGGCATGAGTTTACTCTAAGATAGATCTGCGCACGGGGGGTACCATCAGTTGAGGATTAGGGATGCTGACATTTCAAAGACGACATTTCGAACGCGTTATGGTAAAGTCTGTGGTGTGATGGTGAAGACTCGTCCTTGGGTTCCTGAAGTCCCTGCCTGAAGGCCCTGACCCCGGCCCATGCCCTGGCTCATCTGGCCTGACTACGGAGTCCCCGCTCGTGAAGTGGTAGGGGCCTGTGCTGCACCCTGAAACTGGAACTGATTTCCCTAACCCTTGGTGGGGTAGGAATGAATGAAGTAGGTCTGTGGATACCCCACTGATAACTAGGACTGAGTTGCCCCGTAGTTTTGGGATCCCTACCTCTGAGGACACTCTCTCTTCAAGTGGCTTGACTGGTGCCAATAGTAACATATCCATGGGCCTCCTTGTTATGTGCCCTTGGCATTCCTCCCGCCTTGGGACAATTGAGCATGGCCTTGGCCCTGATAGCCTCGACTCTGTCCCTGTGATTCTTGTGGGGTAGAAATTCTCTGTCTTTTTCCTGAGTTAGTAGTGGAGGATTGTCTATCCTTTTACCTGTCCTTTGACCTGGCCTCTCGAATACTCTTGGCGTCTTCTACCTCTCTCTCTTTATAGCCATGGTTGTCTAAACCATCTCGTCAAAGTCGTGCAACATGTGGCCAACAATCTTACTATGAATGGATAACTTTAGACCATTCTCAAACCTCCGCACCTTGGCCAAATTAGTGGCCACGTAGTCATTCGCAAAACGTGTCAATTCTGTGAACTTGACCACATACTGCATAACTATTATCGCTCCTTACTTCAAGTTTAGAAATTCTTAGGCTTTGACTTCCCGAACAACTGGTGGGAAATACTTCTTCATGAAGAGCTCTTGAAACTTTTCTTATGTCATCCTCCCGATGTCTATCGGTTTTGCCCATGTCCACCATTGATAGGCTTCTCCCTCAAACTAGAAAGTGGCCAACCGTATCTTAGTGGCGTCGGATGCAATCTCCATTGCCTCTAAAATTTTATTCACCTGTTAGAACCAGTTGTTAGCTACCATCGAATCTGCTCCTCCTACAAAATTCGATGGGTTGTGGGACCTAAACTTCTGAAGGTTGTTCGAGCCTCCTTGGCCCACATTCGCACTAGCTTGCAAAAAGGTAGTAGTCATCGTACCCATAGCCTCCATAAAGGCTTGTTGATCAAAAGTTGGTGGTGGTGGTTGGTTGTTCCGTCCACCTTGACGTCCCCTTCCTCTAGTTGCCATCTACATATACATAAGATAGTAGTAAATCAATAACTTAGTATCCCAAAGTTAGGGATCAAAAATTAAAACTGTAGAATATATACCTACTGGTAGATGTCCAAACAGTAGGCTTACACATCATTTTCCTTCCCGACTCTAAGGTTATGTTTTCTAACCGTAGTGTCTAATTTTTATATACATTTAATCATGTGTATAATCTCATAACACATAGCACGTAACATTTAATATATTTCACATGTAATGCACAATGGATGCAATGACCTAGACCCATGCTTCGCAAGCCCTAGGTAAATGAGAACCTAGGCTCTGATACCAAGCTATGACACCCCAAAATTCGGGTGTCAGTAATTACTCGGTTGATCACCCATCAATCCGCGAAATACCTGTGGATACCGTGTAATTCGATACCACGCCGTTATGCCCCATTTGTCGAGATCCATAACTTAACAAATTTTGGGCAAAGTCTTCTTTGTACAGAGAGCTCTACCCAAAACGCAACTTGTACAATCATATAACATTGACCACACCGGCTCATTCATCCTTACTCTTTAGCATAGTATCAATACTACTATAATCATCATCATTACGTACATTCATTCATAAAAGAATAAATGTCTCAAAAGTGTCCTTTATACATGCCTTTTAAATATAAACAAGTTTTTGTTACAAAAATTACACAAGACCAAAAGTAAATAAAAACAAGGGACTACTATATCAAAAGAAGAGCCACAGACTGACTCTGTTGTCAAAGCGGGCCATGGCCTCACATTCGGTGGACACCTGTGCAATAGCTAAAAAATGTTCCCATAAAAGGTGAGTCAACGCTCAATAGGGTAACTCCTATAGAGAATACTTCTTAACCTAAATGCATATGAAATATCACATGCAACAATTATTTTATGCAATCATTCAAATATGTCTATTATGAACAAATGCCATAAATTATGTTATGTCATGAGATGAGACTCGCAAGCAATACCAACACCAAACCCCATCCTGAGCTCCCGCAACACATGCATAGTTCTTGTGTCTTTGTGGGGAGATGATTTATGGTATTACACCAATGGGACACCAACCGTCAACGAATTCTCAGGACATCTTACCTGCAGCTCTGTTTTGGCCGTTACTTTTTTTTTGAAATTTCACCGCCAGAAAGTGTATAAAACAAGAAAGCAGGTCTTACACCCGAGGGAGAATCTAGCCCTTCTTACTATCTCCGACACGTTTATTTATTTAATTTTTTGTGTGACTCAGCCGAACCTTGGTGCAACTTTTCTGAGCCCACAATCAACCATCTATGTGGTGATTGATTTCACATCATGCACACATTCCCACCTATGCCAATACCCATGAATGTAATGCAACTCATGCATAATGCAATTTTATGTGCAATTGTCTTTGGTACTATTTACAATATATATTACATAAAGAATGCAATATAATGATATTTTTAACATGACAACATGTTTATTAATTTTATAAACATAAACACAAATCTACCACAATAATTATATACTAAATCATCATTTAACATACATATTATTTCATAATTACATAACAAGCTAATAATTTTATTAAACTTGATATGTCATTTAAAACATAAAGTAATGCTAATATACAATTAACATGTTTTAAATCACTAACATTCACTTACGCCGAGTTTATCTTAATAGGATTTTATTAATTCCAAGGTTAATCATAAATCCTATATTTGACTCAGTAGTTACACTAGTCAAGATCTAACTTGTGATATGTACTCTTAGTCTATCCATTTCATATGACATATCTTAGGTTGAAATTACATCTAAATAGGGGAAACCCTACCTCTCGTACCATGAGCCGACATACTGGAACTCCGACGAAGCCCAAATTTATCTTCCCAAACCTTAGGCCTAAATTATTATTTTTTATATTTGTTTAGAGAAAAATATATTTAATGTAGTTGCGTAGCTCTCGCTGAGTAGATCAACTTTAGTTCTTGGCTTGAAACGATTAAACGGTCTAATCTTTATAAATATGAAGAAGAAGAAAAAAGAAAAATAAAAAAAAACACACTTTTCTCAGTCTCACTCCCGGCCTCGCCGTCTCTGGAGAACAAAGCAAAAAGTGGAAGAATATATATAGTATAAATTTATTTTTTTAACAAATTTATGTTTTTGACTCGTAATTTAATAATTAATTATTATTTTATCTAGAATTTTTAATAATAATAATAATTTTTTTTTGGGTTTTACACTAGAACCTTTTCATTATACTTTTATTTAATTTTTTTTGATGACCTTCTAGCGTGTATTGGTGGGGGGATTCACATATATATGGTCTGAACTGTTCACATGGGCTGATTTTTTTTGGTGACCAAATCAATTAAATTATCTAATTCAAAATGGTATTAGAAATGCATGGAGAAATGCTTAGAGATAGTTTAGTGGTTCAGTCTGACCTTTAGTAACTCAAATGTCTCAATTTCATCCTTTTTCACACTTTCTAAGGTCAAGCCACTCTCGTTACTAAAAAGGACATTTTCTAATCTAGTTCTAGCCAGTTGAGCTCGAGCTGTAATTCACCGTAAACTTGGACAGCTTGTGTAGCAAAAAAAAAAGTATGGAAAAACCCACAAGATTCATGTAGGACATGTATTCTTTTTATGAGTAATGCGATGCCGATATAAAAATTTGATCTAATTTGTTGATTTAAAGATGTGGTCTTATTAAAATAATTGGATCAACACCAAATTACAATATTTGATATAACTTATAATCAATCTAAAAATTATAATAATTTAGGTCAATAAATTAAATCTCAATAACATATCTCTTCTTTTATTAATGTGATAAGTTATAATACATTCTGGTTGGTGCGGTCCACTCACGACTCACACGATAGACAAAATATCCAAAATGTATAATCAAAACAACAATGTTATGCTAACTAAGATTTTTTATCAAGTTTTTCGTCTCAAGTGTCGTGACACTGTTTCTATCATCAAATAACTTGATCTCATTAATATTTAATGATGAAAATTGTATCATATTACTTAAAATGAAAAACTCGATTAATATAATATCATTTTAATCAAAATATAACTCACTGAACAAGGGGAAATTAAAAATGGAGACATTCAATCCACAACCAATTGACAATGAATAAAGAGAATGTACTATTTTGAATCAATTCAAGGGATGATAACAAAGTGCATAGAGATAGAAACACTTCGTTTTCATCATCATTGGAAATTAGAAAGTAAAGAATAATATTATTTGAATATAATTTATCGATCTCATCATTTATAATCATTGGAGCGTCAGTTGATCCAATATCCATTGGCACCTGCAATTAATCTAATAATTATAATGGATCAGGTGCGTAAATTAGATTTAAATAGTATTATCAAAAAACAAAGAGTCCAAAATCTTACTTTATGCCACCATAGGAGCAAGAAAGCATTCGGATTTCCATATGTACAGTTGTCAAAAACTAAAACCGTTGAATTTCTATGAAAGACAAAAACGACGATGTTCTCAAATCATCGAGGACGGCGTTATGCTCCTCACTAAGCTCCAAAACTAGCTGCGGACATAACGAGTGTCAAAGCTTCTGTATATATACACTTCCATGTCTTTGTTGCTAAGACACACCAAACTCACAGTAACACAGAACTTGGTCATTAATGGCGAACTCTGGTTTGCTTTCCCTTCTCTTTCCCTTATTGCTTGCAGCTCTTGTGCTAAACTGCCATTGCAATGAAAGAAAGGTAGGATGGTTTTTCCAGCTGTTATGCATAGTTTCAGTTAGTTCGGAAATATAAACGTTTTGAAAGCTGAGATAAAATTTGAAATTTGAAACAACAAAATTTTGATTTTGAAACGTTCCAAACTATGAGAACTTAAATTTGTCCCCGAAACTAAAACCTTTTGATTGTTTCTATGAAATGAAATTATCATTTGTTTCCATTTTGAATAGGTACATATTGTGTACATGGGAGAGCGACCTCAAGGGGATGTGCCCATTTCAGACATGCACCACAGCATGCTGGAAAATGCAGTTGGAAGGTTCTCCCTACAAGCCAACTGCTACTACGAATACTACTTGCAAAAATGATAAATGGTTTGTGGCCCATGGGCAGACCTGTTAGCCTAGCGCGGCTTTGGGGCATGGTTCGGGCGGGCCTGCCACATGCATGCCGCATTGTGGCTGGTGTGCAGCCCGATAGAAATAAACCATGGTTTTTACTCGCTAGGCTGGGATGGATTGGCCCAATTAAGACCCATGGGTGACCATTGGTCCAAAACATTTCAGAGAATGAAAAATAGGTCAAATTTGGGAAAAATTTGAAAAAAAAAATGAAGAAAAGACCATTGGAGCCAGGCTCATGGACAACTAAATGAGTAGGTTATGTACTATAGAATTGCTGAGCGGATTAATCTGGCCCTTGGCTGTTTTTAGATTTGCAGGCCAGGTGGGCCCAACCTGGCCCAAAGCAGAGGCTTTACTGGGCCGTCCTACCTCGTAGTGACACTTAAGGGTGTCAATTTTACTCAAACCCGACACAACACAAAACCGAAAATGACACGATTAATTAACATAAATGATAAATGTGTCACAATAAAATTGAACACGAATAACACAATTAACGGATAATGTAGGCATAAAATAGATATTTTATGATTTTTTAATTTTTTTACATATTATCATATGAGTTATAGAATTAAATAATGTTTTAGGCACAGACAAACCACAATTGACACACCCAACATTTAAACATCTGTTCTTGCAGCACTCCATCTGCCAAAGAGTCCCTCATCTACAGTTACCAGAGGAGTTTCAATGGATTTGCAGCCAAGCTAACAGATGAAGAAGCTGCAAGGCTTTCAGGTGAAAATTGCCACACTAGACTAGGCTCAAAAAGTGAAGAGAAATGTTTGTTACTTTGTTCTTGTACTGAAAATTTCATGATGGATTTGCAGAAATGGAAGGAGTCATTTCAGTGATGCCAAATCACATGCTACAACTGCATACTACCAGGTCCTGGGAATTCATGGGTCTCGGTCAAGGCAATCATGGAGGTTCTGAGGGAGACGTCATCGTTGCTCTTTTAGACACTGGTAAAGATATGGGTGACAATAATCGAGTCGTGTCATGTCGTTTCATCACTGATTCCCTTATTTCTTTCCCTAAATATTACATTTTTTTTTTTATTTTATCAGGTGTTTGGCCAGAAGCTGATAGCTTCAACGACAAAGGTTTTGGCCCTCCACCAGCTAAATGGAATGGGACATGCCAAGGCCAAAATTTCACCTGCAACAAGTAAGCATTCTTTCCTTCTCACTACTGACATAACCGTATTGAAGAAAACTGTATAAAAGATAAAATTGACGTTATTGCAGTTGTTCGACTAGACCCTAATAGATTTCTCTCCTTGTTTTCTTTAATGGACATCACAGCAAGCTCATTGGAGCAAGGTTCTACAACAGCATGAACTACTATGATATTACGGACTTCAAATCCCCTAGAGACTCCATAGGACATGGTACCCATACTGCCTCGACCGCGGCCGGTCGGGAGGTCACCGGAGCAAGCTACCTGGGGCTAGCTCAAGGTGTAGCAAGAGGAGGAGTGCCCAATGCAAGGATTGCAGTTTACAAAGTCTGCTGGTCTTTTGGGTGTGCACTTGCAGATATTCTTGCAGGATTTGATGATGCAATTGCAGATGGTGTTGATATTATTTCAGTCTCTCTGGGATCTTCTTGGCCATCGCCTTATTTTGATGACCCCTTGCCATTGGATCTTTCCATGCCATGAAAAATGGGATATTAACATCAAATTCAGCTGGAAATTCGGGTCCTTGGCCCGTGTCAGTCTCCAACTTTGCACCTTGGTCTCTTACTGTTGCTGCCAGCACCATTGACAGAAGATTTGTTGCTCAGGTGGTGCTTGGCAATGGACAAGTTTTCACAGTAAGTTGAAAACAGTATTTATAGACTGATAATCAATTCTAATACCCACATCTTTTCTGATCAACAATCTTGCAATAATGCAGGGAATGTCTGTTAATAGTTTCGACCTCAACGGGACCTCGTATCCATTGATCTGGGGAGGAGATGCAGTTAACTATACAATTGGTTCTAATCCTGATATTTCAAGCTATTGCGTAACTGGTGCTATGAATTCTTATATAGTGAAAGGAAAAATTGTTTTCTGTGAAACCCTTTGGGATGGTTCTGGCATTCTTATGGCTAATGGTGTGGGTACTATAATGGCTGATTCAGTCTTCTCCGATTTTGCCTTCAATTATCCATTGCCAGCAACATTGATCAGCACAGAAGATGGTGTCAGAGTTTTGGATTACATTAGAACATCAGAGTAATAACTCTACTTGTGTTTATTTCAACTAATTTCCCAGCTATAGAAATCGCACATTGACAAACATCACCTAAACATTTTCAGCAATCCGATTGCAACAATTCTGGTTACTGATCCATGGAAGGATATCACGGCTCCTATGGTTGTTTCGTTCTCCTCCAGAGGACCCAGCCCTTTCTCCCCCGACATTCTCAAGGTAATCTTGTTTGCTACAATTAAGTGTTTTCTTTATTGTCAGTTAGAGGTGCAACTCGGACAAATTAGACAAACTAAGAGATCAACTCAGGTAGAACCCGGATTGACTAACTGAGGTAAAATTTGGTTTGGGCCTTGAGAACCCGAAACCCCAACCTGAATACTGTCCAGAATTAAGGTGGGTTTGGATTTTTCACATCAGCCTAAGCTGAGTACTGATATTTTTTGCCCAAAGATTCAATAATGTGGGTTAGGGTCGGGTTGAACTGCCCAAGTTGCCCATGTAGGACATGGTTTTTGAATGTGTGCGTTAATATGACCAGCCTGATATCACTGCCCCTGGTGTGGACATACTTGCTGCCTGGTCTCCTGTGGCACCACCTTCCATCTACTGGGATGACACTAGAAGTGTCAAATACAACATAATCTCCGGCACCTCCATGTCTTGCCCTCATGCTAGTGGTGCCGCTGCTCTCGTAAAGGCTAACCACCCCAATTGGTCTCCTGCTGCCATCAAGTCCGCTCTCATGACAACTGGTGAGAACTCAATTCTCACTCTGTTTACATTTTGTTTTCAATCAAAATCAATACTAATTTGATTATGTCCCACAATTTGTATCCTAATAAAACTCGATGTTTGATCAGCAACTGTAATTGATCCAAGGAAGCATGAGGACCTTGAATTCGCTTATGGTTCTGGTCAGATCGACCCACTTGCTGCAGTGAACCCTGGGCTTGTCTTTGATGCCTCCGAGGTAGATTACATTAACTTCCTCTGCAAGCAGGGCTATAACACAACCACCCTCCGACTTGTCACCGGGGACAACAGTGTATGCAACAGTACAGAGCCTGGGAGAGCTTGGGATCTTAACTATCCGTCGTTCTCACTGTACGTGGAAGACGGTCAGCAGATCGCCGGTGTCTTCACAAGGACAGTGACCAATGTAGGTGCTGCAGACTCAACTTACACAGCTATCATGCACATGCCTCCAACTATAAATGTTTCGGTGGAGCCATCAACCTTGTCATTCTCTGCTCTTGGAGAGACAAAATCGTTCACAGTGAAGGTCACTGGCCCGACCATTTCACAGCAGCCGATCATCTCGGGTGCCATTACATGGCAATCTGGAGTCTATTCTGTGAGAACACCACTTGTGGTTTACAACTACATCCCTGGGGCTCCCTATAACCTTGACTCCGCCCAGACCCTCTCCATGACTGAGAAGAAGCCAACTTTCAGAGGTTCTTCCGTATATCACAAAAATGGAATTTTTGGACGCAACTAAGTTTCATCCAATTTCAAATAAAGAAGTTCTTGAGGCTTTGAGGTGGCAAGTTCCTCAGCTTTCTACAGCTTTCATTAAGAGGTAATAATTACAAGCTTGAATGTGGTTCTGGAGCTTTTGAGGTGCGATGTGCCTCGGGTTTCTATAGCCTTCGTTAGAAGTAATAATTTCAAGCATGTATGACTATGATATGGTTGTTGCCTAACAGAGTCTCTCTCTCTCTCTCCCTAGTAAACTTCACTAAGCAAATTGGCTCTTCAATAGGAAAGTCCAACAATTCCAACACTATAACTAGTTGGGCTTGACTAACTTCTAATTCCCTCAGTAACTAGTTGGGCTTGACTACTAATTCCCTCACCAATCTCACTTGTCAGTCACATATCATCCTTAAAAGAGTGTTAATTACTGAGCCCCACTAGATCTGCTATCAATTAAATTAGCACAAGCAAACTCCTTGGCTGAATCAAGCAGGCAGGTAGCTGCTATAAGCAATCATCCAGACATTGCTCTTGGGAATTGTTTTTCTGGTAAACTTCACTAAGCAAATTCGCTTTTCAATAGGAAAATCTAACAATTCCAACATTATAACTAGATGGGCTTGACTGACTTCTAATTGAAGGGAACATCATGGTCATGACAATGGCTTAAAAGTCAAACCAATGGTCAAAGCATCTGTTTATTATCATGCAATTATGATCAGTGAGGAAAAAAGCCATGGTTGCAACCAATTTTATGTACCAACTATAAGAAGCCATTAACATGCAGCACTTGTGAGATAAGTAACAAGAATGGCTTGATAAATCACTTCCACCTTATTTATTCATTATCAAATCAATGCGGATACAACACTCAAATACACAAGAAGACAATCATGCATCTCATGTGGGATGGGGAACCCGACTGGAAGAAAGATCGCATCAACCCATGTGAAACTAAAGTAACAAGATAACAACTGACAAAACAAAAATCCAAGCATCTATTTCAAGCTAAAGGGGTCTTTCGATTTGGCTTGAACACATACAGTATGAGGGACTCCTTAATAGATAAGAGCTCAGGGAATTCTTCTTTCAGTTTGGTAGCATCAAGTTCATTGTTGCTCCTTGGTGCAATGATCACCTTTGCCTGCTCCTCAAGAGTAAAGTTCTTCCATGTGAAGTTTGGATCAATATAATCCCGGTACATTTCCAGAATCTCATTATGGCTGACCACCCCAGGATTTGTAAAGTTCCAAATCCCTGTGAGGTTTCTTTTTCCCATCTCAATGGAAATGGGGAGGAGTTCATCCAAGATTGTCATGGAGTTTGGTATGTCAACCACCTTTTCATATCGTGTGATCTTCGTGATGAAGTTGCGGGGGTTGGATAAATCTGATGAGATAGGCATTCTGACACGCAATGTGCAGACATTTTCATAGTTCTTGAGCAAATCTTCCACCTTTCCAAAATCATTACAAATGAACAACCATCAGAATTGACAATAATAGAAACCTCCAACTTCTTATGCTTATGCCCAGGCGGTACCTTATAGGCAGCAATATTATTAAAAGGGCAAATTATATTTTATACCCTCAAAATTTAATCTTGATTTCTATTTGGTCCCAAAATTACCAATTAAAACAATCAAATCCTTACACTTTAAGTTTTATATCAATTAAGTCCCCCATTCAAATTCATCAATAAGTATAAAGGAAAAGAGTCACATGAGCATAACGTGATCCAATTATGAAATTAAATTTGAATAAGTTGGCACTGAAGTTAGAGTTTATGTATTGAAGTTACATCTGCATCATCATTTGATAAAGATTTGAGTACTTCAATTGGATGCATTGACTCATCTTTTACAAATTTGACTCATGTTTATGTTTATTTGGTCAAAATTATGTATGTTATTGAGGCATGTAATGTTCACGTGATACTTTTTCATCATAATTATTAATGAATTTTGACATAGGGAATTGATTGAAACTAATCGTGAAATTTAAGGACTTGATCGTTGAGGGACCAAATAGGAATCATGTGTCCTTTTTAAGGGTATAAATTGTGATTCACTCTTCTTAAAAAAAAGCCACATCCTAAGTAACACTTCGAAGACAAAACCTTCCTCGCATTACGACACATTCTTTGCCCGTGGGAAATGTGTCGATAAGCATCTTACTTTTAGTAATTTGGCAGCAGATAAACAGATGAGGATGGAGTCAAAATGAGGGACAAGGTGACTATAGAATAACTATCTCAAAAACTGGTGTATGATCACTATTTTTAGAGTACCAGCTACAAAGGGTGTGCATTGTGTTGCATTACGGGTAAATATGAGTCAACTGCTCACGACTCTTCTCTAGAAGACAACTATCATCCTCATAGAAGTTTTCAGTTCATTTAAGTAAACAAGGAAAATTATGGTTCCAATTGTGATCTTCACATAAGTACTCTAGACAAATATACCACACACATCTGCGGATTTAGTAGTTATGTCCTCCCCCTCCCTCTCTCTCATTCACTTTCTCTCACGTGTGCACACAGAGCATTTATTCTAATGATGAGACACCATTAATACGTTTCTGCAGTCATCCGTCCAACCTCTATCAATCGGCTTTCCTCCTTATTCGCATCTGTCTGACTGATGAGGGAGATCAGCTCTATGGCTGCTTAAGGATAAGGCATTCCAATAACCAAAAGGTCTTGCTATTGAAGTTCAAAATTTATGGTGCACAACAAGGAGCAATGTTACGTGAACTTAAAAATAAATTCTGCCACTCAATAAAAACACAATATGAAGAAAGAAAGCAGGGCGCCTCAAATTCTTTTCAGAGTGCTGATAACATCAACTACGTACTTAATATTGAATGCCATGTAATTCACTAATTCACAAAGCTGCGAAAGAAGCAAGCTAATATGTTTGACTTTAGGTAACTCAAGTTGCCCTTAATGTGTTAACTTTAGGTGACTCAAGCTCATTGATTTTGTCTTGCAAACGTATGGTTGGGACTCTTTTCGTATAGTAACATATAGACCTGACTTTAATCAACCCGTCAAATTGAAGTCTGACCAAATATCTTCCCATTTGATTAAAATAACATTAAATTCAAGAGTCAGATTTCACAAGCTTACTTCATAACACAAAAATACTCAATTTCAATCTAGCACTAATTAAACTAACCCTACAGAACATACCTTTAAACAGGATTCACAATAAAAAACACAGATCTAACACTAGATTTGGCCAACTTATAGCTTTCAGCTTTAAAGGTGATTCTTTTGACCCAAAATCAGGAACATAAATATTCATAACTGGATCTTAAAATTCAATGCCACAATCTAACGAACTACACATATATATAGATCAATTCATGGAAAATGGAGTGATTCACTCACCATGGCCTTGGTCTTGGAATAGAAAGATCCGATGAAATTGGGTTTATCCTCTTCCTTGAACCCAACACCAGTCCCGATCGAATGCTCAGAATCGTACTCAAAAATACACCCGGTGGCATAGTTGATCATAACCAAACCCTTCTCTCTGCAAACGTCAGCCAGCGTCAGCGTCCCCACCACATTGGTCCGGATAGTCTCAACCTTATGTGATTCACACCAGTCCACGTTCGGCCGGCCGGTCACGCCGGCAGCATTGAATACGTGGGTCGGTTTCACCGTGGCAAGATCAGCTTCTAAGGAGCTCCGGTTCTCCAGACGACCGGAGCCGTAAACAAAGTCGATGCCTTGAGCTTCGCAGAGCTTTCCCAGTAAACCACCTATCCAGCCGGTCCGGCCGTAGATCAAGAACTTGAGAGGCTTGTCGGTTGATGAGCCGTTGGCTGGGAAACCCATTTGAGAAGAGAGAGAGAGGGAGGGGGAGTGATATACTAATTACAGGTACTGAATATATATGGGTAGAGGGGAAGAGACAGAGAGGATGGAAAGATCGGATCTGTGAATCTGAGTACGTGTGTGTGACCTGGTATTGGGGCAAGATATTAGACGGTGGTTTGGACAGTGATGGGTGGGGTGGGAGTGGAGTGGCGTGGGTAATAATAATATGGGTTTTTTTTTAATTATTTTATACCTTAAAAGATTTTAAATTTTAAATTTTCTGTTCTTAAAAATTAAATTTTTTATATTATATCATTAATGTATCAAAAGTATTATAATTTAATTTTTTTGTTTTTTTGTTTTAGGAGAGAGATTTGAACCTTTGATCTCAAGAAGACAAATATTTTATAAGATAAAAAGTATCATTAGACCAAATGCGCATTGATAATTTTTTTGTTACCTTTTGTTATTTTCTTGTAAAAAATTAACACATTAACACTAATAAAAAATTAACAAAAAGAGTTGCATTATAAAATTTTTAATACATTGAGAATATAATTTAAATAATTTATATATAATAAAAATTTTAAAATTATAAAATAAAAGTTTCCCTAATATCAACACAATTTGAAGTGGGTAGGTAATGATTAGGAATTAATTAGTAAGTGAATATAATTATGGAAGGGAGTTCCCTCATTAATGACCTATGGGTAATTTTTTTTTTTTTTTTTTTTGTCATCCACTATTAAACTAGGGGAAGTGCTAGGGATGACACCGTAGACCATGGTTCATCCACACATGGGATACTCGTAGGCCTGGCAATTATGTCAGGTAAAGCGGGATTGCATCGGATTTTATGAGTTTTATATTAAAAAATATTTCACTTATATTTAATTTATTTATTAATTTATGTCTAACGATTTATATTATATCGAATTTATGTCATGTATAAATCGTATATAATCAATATGTAAAAAAAATATATTATATATTTTTTTTAATTGACTTCACTCATACTCGATTTATTTATTAATCATTCATTTATGAAACGGGTTACTTAAAAAAACTCAAACTCTCTAATATCGTATCGCATTAAAATCGTATCATATTTCAACACCACTAGACGCAAAAAATAGGAAGAAAGAGACAAATATAAAAGTGTGCATGAATTAAAATGGATGTTTAAATATTATTTTATAAGAAATTTAGGGGTTAAATGTGGTAAGAAAAAAATGATATATAATATTGATATTTTTATGAAAAGACAATTAAAATGGGTCTTACACACGTTATTAAAAACTTTCGTAATTTGATAAATAGTTTCAATCTAGAATGCAATGTGTATAATTAACTCATCATACTTGGGGGATCCAAGCAATTTACTATATGATTACACTATCCCAATTTAACTTTTTTGTTTAATTTTTCATACGAAATTAAGGAAAAAATGAAATTTCTCAATTTTAGAAAGTGTGATCTTTCTTTCCAATGATTTTTATTTTTATTTTTATTTTTTACCTTGTTTTGTTGAGAAAAAATATATTAAAGTTAGTAATGGGGCATTATAGAATTCAAACTAATAATTTGTACAAGCAATCTGATTAATTCATTATTAAGGAAAAAAAATAGGATTATTAATAAGGTGCTATTTAACCAACTGCAATATAGTTATACTCAAGACGTGACATCAACCTGTTCTTTTCTAATAGGCTGGGAGTTATTCGTACCCCAAGGTCATATCCTATCAGTAGTTACAGTTGAATAAGACACAGTAATATGAATATGATACAAGATAAATCAACCAGCATTGGTTGTCAATGTTAGAATTGATCAATGCGAATTGGAAAAGAGAAATAAAGAATATATTATTTATAAAAGTAAGTCCGTACTGCACAGTTTTAACTTACAGATAAATAAAGTAAGTCTTATATAATAGGGCAATACAACATAAAAAAAATGTCTAAACTAACTTTAGTATTAATACTCTAATACCCCCTCTCAAACTCATGGTGTGGTAGAAAATATTAAGAGTTCGCCAAGAAAAAATTGGAAACGTGTTATGGTGTGAGATTTCATAAAAAAATTCACTATTTGTATTATGGAAGGAAAAAAGGGGAGAGTGATGATGCCCTGTTACAGATGATGGCGCACAAAGTGACAATCAATCTCAATATGTTTTGTGCGCTCATAGAAGACGGAGTTATGCGCAATCTGAATAGCACTAATGTCGTTACAGAACATAGGAGTAGGAGAAGATACTGAAATGCCAAGATCAGCAAGGAGTCATCGTAATCAGACTATCTCAACTGTAGTAGATGATATAACACGATACTCAGCTTCAGCAGAAGAACAAGCAACAACAGTTTGTTTCTTGCTTTTCCAAGAAATAAGAGAATTCTCAAGAAACAGGCAGAAACCAGTGGTGGAAAAACAGGCAGAAATTAGTGGTGGACTTGCAATCCATAAAGTCACCAGTCCAGTTAATATCAGAGTAAGCCCTGAGTTCCATAGATGAAGAGTGAGAAAATAGTAAACTTTAATGTAAAGTACCACGGAGATACCGAAGAATGCGAAGAACAGCAGCCTAATGAACGATGGTGGGTGAAACAACAAATTGACTTACAATGTGAACAACATAAGAGATATCCGGACGAGTGACTATAAGATATCCTAACTCCCAACAATAGTGCGATATAAGGTTGGATCAGACAAGGGAGTATCATCAGACGAAGAGTAATGAATATTTAGCTCTAAAGGTGTTTCAACTGTCCAATTATTTGATAAACGAGTTCGTTGAATAACATCTGAAGCATACTTGGACTGAGAGAGAAGATATCATTTAGGAGATGAAGCAATCTCAATACCCAATAAATATCTAAGCTGCCCCAAATCTTTCATCTCAAAATGGTCTTGCAACTGGGTTTTCAATAAGCATATGCCAACAATGTCATCACCCGTAATAATCATATCATCAACATACAGTAAAAGAAAAATATAACCTAAAGAAGTAGATCGTAAAAAGAGAGTAGAATCATGACCATTGAGGCGAAAATTCAAGTCACAAATAACCGAGAAAAATTTGACAAATCATACCCTGGGAGCCTGTTTAAGACAATAAAAAGCACGATAAATTCGACATACTTGACCAGAATTTTAAGATAATCCAGGGGGAGGTGTCATAAAAACCTCTTCATTTAAATTTCCATGTAGAAATACATTTTTCACATTCATTTGAGACAAACTCCATTGTCGGATGGCAGTAATTGCAATTACGGTGCGAACAGTAGTCATCTTGGCAACATGAGCAAAAGTCTCATTATAGTCTAGACCATATTCCTGAGCAAACCCCTTGACTACTAATCGAGCTTTCTATCGTTCCACAGAACCATCCGATTTGATTTTTATTTTATAAACCCACTTACAACTAATGGTGCGTTTACCAGGCGGTAAAGACACTAGCTTCCAAGCTCTGGTTTTATATAAGGCAGGCAACTCCTCATCCATAGCCTGTTTTCAAAGTGGATCAAATAAAGCCTTCTTGTAGGAGGTGGGTTCAGATAGAGAATGAATACGAGTAATAAAAGAACAAAAGTCAAAAGAATAACAAGTATTACTCCAATCAAACCTGTCTGGACATTTACGAGAATGCTGAGGATAACGTGAGGTATGATCCACAGTGTTTGAACCTGATTGGGCAGCCAGAGGAGAAAGGGGTGTCACTACATCCGGAGAGGAGATAACTGGAGTCCTACAACATATGTATGCACAATAGGGGAACGAGTAATAGTCGACTAAGAAGATGAAGGATCAGACACATGTAAATCACCAACATATATGTCATGAGGAACATTAGTAAGAAAGGGATCAATGTATATCAGGTCAGACTTATGCAATGAAGAACTAGATGAAATTGAAAAGAAGGGAATATGCTCCATAAAAACAACATGGCAAGAAACATAAAGTTTGTGGGTGATGGGATCATAGCAACGATACTCTTTTTAACCCTCACCATAACCAAGAAATACACATAAAGCTGAACGAGCAGAATTTTTGGTACAAAAAATACTAGGGAGCAAAACAAAGCAGACACAACCAAATACATGTAAAGAAAAATAGTTAGGTGGCTTAGCATATAAATTTCCAAATGGAGAGACTCCAGATGTGAGAATAGTAGGAATGATATTGATCAAATGAACTGTTGTCAAAACTGCTTTCCCCAAAAATGAGCTTGGAACATGTGCTGATAATAGAAGGGAACGTGTTGTCTCTAAAATATGACGGTGTTTCCGTTCGACAACATCATTCCGCTCAGGTGGATTAGTGCAAGAAGATTGATAAATTATACCATCATATTTCAACAAATCATGAAAAAAAAATAAGAGTATATTCACCTCCCTAATCACATCGAAAATATTTAATGACTGCGGAATATTGAGTGCGTACCATGTGACGAAAGATAGTAAAGATGAAAAAGAATTCAGACTGACGTTTCATCAAGAATACCCAACAGTACCTCGTGTAATCATCAATAAATGAAAACATAATATTTGGACCCTCATTGTGTAGGGATAAGAGTCGATCCCCATATATCAGAGTGAACAAGATCAAATGGTGCAAGAGACAAGTAACACTTTTATTGAATGACAATGCATTAAATTTAGCCAACTTGCATCCACTACAATCAGAAATATCATGACTTTCTAAACTACCCAAACTACCAGTTGAAGTTAAAAATTTTAAACGAGAATACGAAACATGATCGAGACGAGAATGTCATAAATAAAAACTAGATGACTCTGGACTCAAACGAAAAGAAGATAAATCAACAGTAGAAGCAGCAGCATCAGCATCTAGAATATGAAGCTCCTCCAACACATATAACCCGCCCTTTCTACGGCCTGTCCCAATCAGCTTCTTGGACCGTGGATCCTGCACAATACAACCAGAGGAAGAGAAATGAACCACAAATTCATAATCAAATAGTTGACTGACAAAGAGTAAATTCAAAGTAAGTTGAAGAATATAATAGACATCTGAAAGTGTAAGGTTGGATAAAATAATTGTCCCAACACCAGCTAATAATATTTGAGAACTATTAGCAACAAGTACAGATAAAGATGGGGGTGAAACGATATATGCAAATAAAGAAGAGTCATTGGTCATATGATGTGTGACACCTGAGTCAAAGACACATGCAGTTCGAGATATACCTGAAGGATATGAGCTGAACGAACCTATAGTAAGAGAAACTATGAGAGCATTAGACTGATGAAGAAAGAGAAACTTATGTACTTGATCTGCAGGTATAGTTAGGTTGGGAGTTGATGAAGCTAACTCGTTCACTGATGGTGCTACGACTGTTGTATGACGATTTCTAGACTTAAATGACTGATTTTGAGACCCTCATGCATTCTTGATCATCAACTTTGGACATTGGGCTTTCCAGTGACCCTTTTCACGACATAAATTACACTCATCAAAAGCAGCTTGACCTCGATATTTATTTTGAGAATTAGAGGTCACTTTGGAAGGAACAACCAATACAGTCTGATTTGGCAGTGGAAGAACATCCTTTCCAAAAAGGATTTTAAGACGAACCTTTTCAGTTAAGAGTTCATTAACAACTGCATCCCACTGAGGGGAGTGGGGTGATGATGAAGAATGGAACCACGAAGTCTCTCGAAGTCATCTCTAAGAGTCATCAAGAATTGCACCAACCTCTGTTCCTCTCTAAAGGTGCGATATGTTAAATTAGTGCTTAATTCAGTAGGTTCAATAAGTGCTAGCTGATCCCAGAATTCAGTTATAACTGAGTAGAATTCTTGTATGATTTTGTCCCCTTAACGCACATTTCGAATCACATGCTCAATTGATACCACTTTGCAAAATTAGACTGGACAAAAAGTGTGGCCAAATAATTCCAAATTTCTTTAGTTGTGGTAAACTTGGATAGATGAACCTCAATAGTCTGATCAACTGAGTTATTAATCCAGGTGATAATTATTGCCTTATTGATATTCTAAGTACTCTTCAAATCAGCGTAATTTTCAGCCTTAGTATCAGTTGGAGCCTGTACAACACCACTAATATAATTCTACATGTCTTTCCCCAATAATTTTTTTTCATAATATAAGCCCATTAAACATAATTTTCACCTATTAGTCTTACACTAATGGCTTGAAATGAATCAGAATTTTCACTTGCCATTGTAGTAACAATTACACCACATTCAAAGTCAAAGCAGTCAAAACTCAACGGCCCAAAGAAAGCAATAACACTAAATAAGAATCAACAATCAAAATTGAGTAGCCACCAAAGCAATCAAAACTCAGCAGCCCCAAAGAGAGCAATAACACCAAATAAGAACCAACAATCAAAACCCAACAGCCACCAAATTGGCAATATCACCAAATAACACTCAATAGCAAAAAAATCAACTGTCGAAGCAAGCAAAAAACAACCAGAATGCCGTAGCCACAACAAGAAGACTACCCACAACTCAGCCGAAGATTTGAATATCAAAGCAACCCACACAGAACATAGCAATAAACCCACACAAAAACCACGGCTTCAGGAACCAGTGTCGCCTGTGACAGGTATACCGAAACCCTAGAATGGCCAAAATCAAGCCAAAATAATGCTTCTAAAGCTTCGAGTCTCTCAAGAACGGACCATGGAAGCTTAGTTGGTGCTCTTAGAGAAGATTTGGACCAAAAATTGTAGCAAAAAATCTAAGTTTTAACAGATTGAAGAAATTTGAGAATTTGAGTCGAAAATATTCAAAAAATAGAAACATCTACGAGATGAGTTCAAAATAAAAAACGAACCATACCAACAAAAAGCCCATGAAATTTTGAGTCTAACAGTAGTTTTCACGGTCAAAAAAGAATGACATTAGCTTGACGTCATCACCGATGATTGCTGACATCATGCTCCAGCAACCTAGAAAAAAAACAGTTCATCTTTTTACTATCTATAATCTTAGGTTTTGAATGAAATATAATAGTTCTGATACCATGTAAGAATTGATCAATGCGAATGGAGAAAAGAAAGAGAATAAATTATTCAAAAAACAAGTTTGTAATACACATCTTAAACCTAGAAATAAACAAAGTAAGTCTTATATAGTAGAGCAACACAACATAAAGAAAATGCCTAAACTACCCTTAGTATTAATATTCTAACAACGAATACGTATCAACACCACCCCCCAACCTACCCACCAACAACCATCACACACACATACATGAGATATGGAAAACTAGTTTTTGAGCGGCATCAGTTTGGCCTAGTAGACCATTAATGCAAAAAACAGGGGAGGCTAATGCCTAACAAGATACAATGGTTTGATTAAATGGTGAGATTCTCTTGAATGGCAGTGAATGTCCCTACTATATTTCCACCCACATCTGGAAATGTTTCACATCCAGGAAGAGGTTTCACCTTCCCTGTTCGATCAACTTCGACTGGGTACTTAAGAAGGTGTCCCTTCATTTCAGTAACCTCATCAGCTACATATTGTTTCCAGTTCAGCTCACTCAGCAACCTTACACGCCTCACACATTCAAGACTCTCTGGTTGCTCGAAACATCGTTCCACAGCACCAATATGCTCTGCCCAGAGTGACATTCTATATCCGAATATCTGCACTCAGATGCAAAAAACAACTAGTCACATATGTATTCACCACCCAATTAGGGCATTTACAGAAATACAAAAAATTCACTTCAAAATTTCAGACAAAGTTAGTCGGGTTAATGAAAAAAACAGAAGTGAAAACGTGTACAATACATGACAAATTTTTTGTAATTTTAAGGAGAAACTTGAAGCGTTAAATACAAGACAAAATATACTTCCCTTGAACTTGCAATTCCAAAATTACATCTTGAGCATGTATAGCTATTGAAGTCTTCATTTGGAAGAGAACCCTGACAATGACTTATTATTACCCTCAACGGCTCTGAGGACGGATAATATTACAAGCAAACTTGGACTCGCTGATTAAACAGTGAGAGCTAATAGATGGTTACTAGCCCTCCCATACAATGAATAAATTCTACGTGCCTTGATAACACTGGCATACAAACATGACAAACTTGCAGCCAGATCACATGCTATTATGACTGCAAATGAATATATAGTCACACAGATACACCACAGACTTTCAGTTCTTTTTCTCTAAATCTAAAATACGGTCATGAACTCCAAGAGTAGACACTTTATGATGTTTGCAGTTGTACAAAACTGTACCATTCATTTAACATGGTATATTGATGAACTTTCATCCTTGGATTCCACTTCCTATATGTTACTTTATACCATCCTTGAATCCCTGATCTGCGGGGTGGGATCTTAGATCCACAGACACCAAGTCAAGGAGGACCAGCTTCACTTAGCACTGTTTTTTTTGTGTGGATCTAGTCTGATCTGAAGTATAACATCTTAATATTTAATTTATCTGACTCTAGACAGTTGTTAATGGTAGTAATATACATCACCATTTCTCAGATTACATGTATTATGGATTCGCATCAAGGTGAAATACATAAAGAGCCATCTGATCCAAGCTTACCTGCCCACGTGGACTGGAGTTTTTGTGTGCCCAGGTATAACGAGGCTGATATGCACCCATAGCGATTTCAGTGTCTCTGGTGCCCTCCAAGGAACGCTGGTTGATGTTTGCAGACCCCAATATCACATACTCATCATCTACAATCATTCCTTTGGAATGGACATAAATCATAAAGCGCCGGCTTTTCCGAGTGAGTACCTGGGCAACACATATAACGATGGATAAGTAGGGATAAAATGATTGGAAAACGTAGAAACTTAATATTTCGAGAGTAAGCTTAAGCACCGCGTTAAAGGGTTAGAAAGATGTACTTGAGGAGTGCTTGTGGCAGCACAATTTTTGGTATCTGAGTGGGCTTCCCTGTCTTGAGCCTCACGATTGCCCAGGCAGAAGAAATTCAAATAATCTTGAGGTTCACATTTCTTCTCAAGACCTACCTCTTCTAAAGCCTTGTAGATTACATCATACATCATTTGCATTGTATTGTGCTGTAGAAGCAACAGTATCAGAGGTTGATGAGATACAGCAAATAAACCCAAAAGCCCAACTAATCCTTCCCCTCCCCCCCCCCAAAAAAAAAAAAAAACCACCCACCCACAAAATAGATAATAATAATAACAAAAAGAAAAGTCAACAGAAGAGAATGGGACTCAATTCTAGATCTCTCTTACAACTACCAATAAACTTTACCAACAAAACCAGCTTGTGTTTAAAAAAACCGGAAAGATAAAAAGTCATTGAATTTATTCAAGCCACCACTATGGGGTTTGGGGAGAATTGGATAAATACAGCCTTATCTCCCTACGTGGATTGTTTCCATGACTAAACCCACGACACCAATATCACAATGAAGATTGATTTAGCAAAAGATTGAATTCTCTGTGATAAACTAGCTATGTTGTAAGCACTTACCAGTTTAAATAGTTGACAGCAACAGATTTCATGTAGAATAATACACGGAGGAAGCAAAATAAGGTCCTAAAACATAGATTTAAAAGGCAAGCAACTTTAATCCTTTCAACTAGACTAGAATGGAAAAAAAAAATAGGCCACCTAATCTCTTTCTGGTTTTGCACTCTGTTTTGGTTGAGGAGCACCCAATTGGTTTTTAATATCAACCCAAGTCAATCTCAAAATTTTTGAGGACTTTAATTGAGCCTCGAGATATAGGAATGATTACTTCAAGAATAATCAGGAACCCTGTAACGGGTTTCTACAAGAGGTAAAATAAGTTTTCTATAAAGGCATCTACTTTTTGCCTCAGTATTTCTCTTGGTCACTTACTCCATCTGCAAAATATGAGGTCGCCGATTGCCTTGCCATTATCCAAAACTTAGTAGGAGAGCAGTGCATTCATGTTATGGAAAATCTTCAGCTGCATATCAGTACAGAGGCGCCTCTAACAAGTCACCGAAGCTATGCTTGGTCTGTCGGATCAAGATGCTGTTCAAATATATTATGGATGGTTCATTCAGTGTACCACCTCAGAATTTTATACGCACCTCATGTTCCATTTCACACTTCACATTACTTCCCCAAGGACTTTGGGTATGTACAGTCTGCCGCTTTCTTTCTTTGTTTTTTTTTTTAATAACAGACCGTTATTCCCGGCTGTCATAGAAGTCTGTTACGCGGGTAAAGGTGATGCATTTCTGGTACTGGTGGCATTGGACAAGCTCTTAGGGGATGGGAATCAGAGCAAGTGGTAAGTGAGGCAATTCAATCTGGTAGTGGATCACAGTAAAATCTCTCTTTTTGCCATTCGAAAGGCGCTCCAGCTCCATGGAGACTTGCTAAAGGGACTATGAAAGTAAATTCACTTTTAGGGAATGCACGGTTGTGCCACCATCATATGCCACATAGCATTGGGCCGTACAAAACACAAGATCATCACCTGTGCTTGGGTCACTAGATAGAGTGGGAGTCCACAAATATGACGATGATATAACATGAACATTTGCATGCTGATGGCTCCAATATTGTTACTGGATCCATAAGTGATTGAAAAAACTTGAATAGAACAGTAGCAAAATCTGATTTTCAAGGGACATCTGAATTCCCCCTCCATCCTTGGATATGAGGAAGACATAGTATGAATATTCACATGATTCATTCTTTCATTAGGAATAAAAAGTTCAATTATCCATCTAGTGATTTATAGTTTATGATTTGGTAGTAAGAGTCTACCTGCCAAAAGAGAATCCTCTGAGTAGCAGTACTTGTAGGAACACCCTCTGGCCACATTGGAATGACAATATATACAGCAAACCTCTGATTTGCTCTGATTTTGTTAGCAATTTTAAGAGCAATTTCCATTGGTATCAAATTGTTCGCACCTGCAGATAAAAATGAATTCTTGTGTAACAGTGCTTAGTTTGAATATTTAGAAGATGTTTGATGAGTAAAGAAAACTAGGAATTTACGACAACCACACTGCTCTGTCCCTTGTCAAGACTCTAAGTTTTCATTTATCATCTTTTGTTCTCAGCAATCAGTGCATGAAGAGGGGGGGAATAAAATAGCAGAGAACAGCGGAGTCAACATTAGCATGTGTACATAGCTGTTACTTCATGAACTTATAATGACACATAAGTTTTTTAATTGAGTAGTGATACATTATTTACCATGTAGTCAGACAATCAGATCTGGTGTACTAGTCAATAAGTTTCAATAGCTCGACAAGAAGTAAACAGTTAGTGGTGCTTACCCAAGTTTTTGTAGTTAGTCCAATTGTATGAAGACCCAAGGAAATACTGATTCTCAATATAAATGCAATGTTGTGCAGCACGAATCCCCTTTACATATGCTGTATGTATACTCATGTCTATCAGTACATTTTTTCCACATACCAGGTTCTGTTACAATGAAGTGAAGATATCAGCCAACTAATTACCATCATAAAAGGGGAACTATTTAAAGAAAGAAGAACCTAAGGAACCAAAAGTTGCCCTACCCTGCCTGTAGCATCTTTTGGGTCTTTGGGAAAACCTTTAACTGAGTTGGAGTCAATTGAACGAAAAACCTATGTATTCCAAGAAAGTTAGTCCTGGTAGTAAAGGTTAAAGCAGTACTGAAAAATCTAAATTTAATCAACCTGGACATGCCAAGCCTTTGGATCATCCTCCTTTAGGTATGGGGCATCTGCCATTCCTAATATGTCAGGAATTCTTTCAAGTTTGAGTAAGGCGTCATCATTTGATGCTTTCATTTTCTGAAGCCCGTGTGGTTTTGAAGCCTTTAACCAACGCTCCTCAAAGTTGGTGAGGATATCATATGCTGCTGGACCATCAATTTGAGAGTGCAAATCATGCCATGGTTCTCTTGGACAATCAACAGCAGGTCCCTGTTCCATTTAAAGCCATATATAGGGTAAGGAACAGAAAAAAAACACGAAAGAGTAGATGGAAGTATCAGCATCATTTTAAATGTCAAAGAAGGCTAGGTCCAATGAGGTAGTGATCAAGCTTTACATTTACGTTCATCAATGATTCTGATTAAAGGGACCAAACTCTCTTAGTCGGTACCATCACTCCCATTTTTTTAAAGAAGCCAAGCCTCCATATTTTCATAAAAACTACTTGGCCAAAACCATATAAATCTAGATTATTCTCAGAGAAAAACAAAAGAGATCAAACGCGTACCAAATATCAAGAATAATGAGAACCCAAACTACACATTTTACGAAGATTAACAGTGAAAGAGAAGCGACTGAGTATAAAGAGCATATGAAGTTTCTCACAATTGGCCGCAAATTTAGTTTACAAAACTAGTGTTTGGAGTATCTTTGCAATGTGTAAGCCTATGTACAGTCACAAGATTCGGCCAATCTGAGGTAGAACGTAGGTGCCACGAAAGTATGATGTATAAAGTGCCTTACAGACGACCAGAATCAACATATCTGAGCAGATATCTTAGATAACTGATGGGCAAAGAGTAAGAAATCCAAATCAACTACAAAGCAAGAATGACTATTGCAAGATGGTTACCGTAAAAGTAGGATTATGATAGTCCTCTTTGTGCACAGTTTGCAATGTGCTAAAGATAGGATGTTTTGGAGTGTCATATCGCCCATTGCATAAATCAAGACCTCCAACAAATGCTATGATCTTTCTCTTATGATGACCCGCATCAGCATCCAGTATCACAGTTTTCTGATGATGGGTGTAGATTGTTCCAACTTCCTGAGGACCAAAAACCAAATCAAGTGGCTCAATGAGAATAGAAAATCTGGAAACATGTATCAAGAAACAAGATTTGGGAACTGAGAGAAACGAACTTAGTGCAGGCAACAGCTATTAACCCAAAAACAAAAAATTTACTTCTAAAATTTCTAATTCCCAACTCTAGATGTAGGCCAAACATTGCAATTCAGGGTGAAAAGAAGGGTGTACTGGGTACAGTCCCAATCTCCAGCTTTGTTTGGAGAAGGGGCTGCCTTACCTTCTACCATTGCACCAAGCAATGCCCCCATGCCAACTGTTACAGTGCATTTACAAGGTAATTCTCACACTATAATATAATGAAAAAGCTAATTGCAGGAGGTAATATTATATAATGGAAGAAATCTGAGGTAGACTTCAACCAAACTCCTCTGTTGTCCTTATGGCGCATGCATAGTTGCAAGTCTTGTAATATCATATGCCTTATCAAGATATCCTTTTGGTTTTTTCCTCTAATTTCACAATAGATGTATTTTACAAAGATGAGGGTGTAATTTATCCTAGTTGAATTCACCATACGATATTGCTACTTTGTCAAAGTCTACAATGAAAAAAATTATAAAATTTTATTATGTTTTTTCTTGTTATTATTCCTCTGAATTAAAACTTTACACCAGATATTGTAGAAAACACGTTCATGAACACAATTGAAGAATTTCATCACCATATAGACAAGTACGTAGTCACAATTCCACTCCAGTTCCAGCAAAACTTGTTAGCGGCATCCCATAGAACGATGCATTATCAGTAAAATATTAAGACTAAGGATTAAGGAACCTTTTTTATGCTCCAGGAAAAAAATGTGGAAGCAGGACAAACCATTGATATAGAGAAGATTATTATGTCCAACCTGTTTTTTGGCCCAGCTATGTCCTTTTCCTGCAGATCGGGGGCAAAGTAGCACTTGCACTGAAGAACGCTTGAAAAAGCGACGTGTCTCCTCATCACCAGTTTGCATGATTCCATCCTACGTGTTATGTCAACAACAGATAACTAGGTGAACTTCTTACTTGAAACATTGGGAACCAAAAGCAAAAAATTGATGCAATTACGGCATTTAATGTATAAAGCTACTGGGCAGAGATATTGTAAGCATAATAAAACTTTGCAAATACTGAAAAAGTATAGTCCATGCTGAGCAGCAACAAAAGCCTGGAAAGGTTGGGGGGGGGGGGGGGGAGGACAGCCCATAGTGGCTGCCTCAATGTTTAACCCATGTTTTAAAAACTAGCATTGTCAAGCCAAATTCTATGTTTCAATTACATCATGCATTGCTGCAGACTGCTTTTTATCAGTTCAAAGTTTCAAATGAAGCTGGATCATTTCAAAGTTTTTGTTTAAGAAATATAATATGCTGCAGAGAAATATATAGTTGAAATTTTCATCACACCAGACAGACCATACTGCATGACAAACCAGTCGATAAGTATGATGGAAACTCATATATTACATAACTTTTCCTTATTACGTTTTGACTTTCATAATCTGAAAAGAATGATTAATCGATAACTGAATGACAAGAAATTTAGCTGCGTAATGTCTCTTGTTCTTTGAATCATAGTAAAACAAGCATAGGCATGGGAATTTACCCAACCAATGCACCTGAGAGTTTAGCTCAATCAATGTGAGATTGAAACATTTTTAGCTAGTCTATTGTATTTGCCCAAGTGAGAAGGAATCATCCTTGTGTTCAAAGATTAAGGTAAGATATTACACTGATATCATTCACCTTAACATGTCATGGACACATTTGAGAGCATATAAATAACATGTCACCCTTGAGTCAAATAGCAAGTCAGAATCAATATCGTGGAGGCTAAGAAATGCTATTCATTGATTGTTAAGTTGCAACTACACTATCTCCAAACATTCATAACTAACAATCCAATAGCCATTTCATTCGGTTAGAGAGGCAAAGATCAAACCTGCAACCTCTGAGGTCCACAAAATCCATCATTTGACTTAAAAATGTTAACTTATGTTCAGAAAACAAATCTGTATCTTGGTTCTCACGGTAAGAGTTACTACGAGAGACTCTTCAAAGGTGAGAATATGCTAACTAATACCCTTCTCATAACACTAAACCAGAAAAAAAGAAGTCAACATAATTTAAGTCTACCATAATACGAGACTGCAGGGTATAAGAAAAAAATTGTAAAGTTGGTTCTTACAGTTTTATAACCCAAAATGCTCCTAGAAGTAGGATCATCCCATACAAGGAGCAGCACCCTCACACCTTCCTGTGACTTGGCCTTGAGAAGCTCCCCCAAAGTGCTATCTTTTGGACCGCCCTCATCCCGAACGAGTCTAACCAGGTGGTAGACCGACCATCCTGTTATATAAATCAAACGACGCGCCTGAATGATTGCCTCATAAATATCACGCCAGCAATGTCCATGCTCATATAGCATATTATGGTCAAGCTTCAACTTCGGAAAGCAGCCATCATCGACATGAGCATCTTGGTAAAGTGTAACTTTTCCACCTCTCCTAAGGGGAAAATATGTACCAGGGACGCCCTGACATTCAGAACCTGATCCAACACCACCATGATAAAGAGACACTTGCTCCATTGGTGTGTATTGAATCGACATAGTCAAGACAGCTCCAGGCTTACAAGGCTTCCCACTTGCATTAAGAACTGGGAAGGTACCCTCAATTTTTTTGCCAGAGCTTATTTCCTCCACTGGGATGCCTACAGCCCCTATAATTTGAGAGCCCACAACATCATCGTCTTTAACCACGAAGTGCACTTCTGAAGCATAATGAGCAACAGGAACATAGAAATGCTGAATCCAGACAGGGTTCTCACTATTGTTAATCACAAAAGTTCTAGCAATTACAGCATTGGATACCGAAATGGTGACATAGGGGTCACTTGTTATCTTACTAGGCATGCTTCCCTCAATTTTGCTGTTCAACTTTCCAAATCCAAACACATCACCTAGTTTCTTATGAAACATATCCATATTTGGAAGGTTCTTAGCCTCTTTCACCCATATATCTAAATTCCCATGTAACAGTAAAACCTTCAAAGATGCCATACAGGTCTTAAATGGCACAATTTGTACCCCCTGGCCATGCTGCGAGCCTTCAGACATCGAATCGGAATAAGCTAATTGAGCCATACAAGCACTCTACTAACTCAAAATACAATTGTCTAAAATTCACTGATGTTACGGATTAGACCAGGATGTTTCACTAGCAGCAATTGAACAGATATCAAAAAAGTACAACACAACTAACAGATTTCATCATCAAGTATGAGAAAATACCCATTTCAGCAATTGAACAGCTATCAAATAATTAACGGTTTTCAGCGAAACATCCTTCAAATCAAATCAGATAGAAAACGTTTTTGAGTAGAAAATGGGATAGACTTCTTGGTGACCAACAGAGGGAATTGAAAAACCCAGATGAATCCGGGTTAAAGACCCAGGTGAGTGAGTTGAATTAAGAGGAATTTTAATGATTGAAAGCAGAAGAAGCCTGAAGTGTACTGTGGGTTTTGTGGGTATATGATATAGGAATTGAATGGGTAAAAGACTTTCCTTTTGGTATCCGAATGGGTAAAATATTGAGGATGAAGATATTGAATGCAGTTGGCGTTGAATGAGTAAGACGAAAAAGGATATTGAATGCGATTAGCGTCAAATGAGTAAGGCGGAGGATTGGAAAATTCCCAAAGTAAAGAACCAATCAAGTGGACCATGCTAATTAATATTAAAATGTTTCTTTCTTCAATGGAAACAAAACGAATTGAATCAGACTCGCGCTTCATCAGGACTCTGCTTGAGGACAGAAGGTACTTTTGGTTGGAATCTTCTGGCATTTGCTTTCTATCGTGTTCATTTCTCGTTTTCTAAGCCAACGGTATCATAAAACAAGAGAAAATTTGATCGATCAGTTCGCCTGCAAGTGGGACCACAGGAAGGTGTAAGCAGACGATAGGACAGGTCTTTGAAGCCCAAAAGTCCCGTTTGCTGTCCTTAAAGATGCGATGTGCCTGAATATCTTACGTCTCAATTAAGTTCCTTTTTTACTCGATTAAAGATAATTTAATCATAACGGAACTAAAATATTTAACTCCGATTAAAGAATTGTTAAAATTTAAAATTTAATTTTTGAGTTTATCGTTCGTTTCTGTTACTACTTGAACTACTGTGGCATTACTTTCGTTCATATTATTTTCGTGTCGTATCATTTTTTATATATGTCGAGTTTGTGTCAATTAAAAATTATTTAATTCTACATAAATACAAATAATATACTTATTTTCTATCTACAATATTCATTAAATATTTATTTTGTATCTATCGTACCCCTAAATCGTGTTATTCGCTTCTAACCTTAATTTGAGTATTTTATTACTCGTGTCAACTAATCGTGTTATTTTTGAGTTTTGTATCGGATCAAGTTTGTGTTAATGAGTAAAATTGGTACTATTGAAGGCTTGTCCATCAGTATTGATACCTTAGGGGAGCATTGTGTAATTTAAACTAGACACCAAGTGTCATACTGATAACTTAGGGGATCTCTGTGTAACTTGAGCAGGATGGCAAAAGGTGCCTGCTTGCCTTAATAATAGTTATATATTTATTACTTCTTCTTATTTTTCTTGTTTTCCTATTCAATTTTTTTTTTTTTAACTTGGCTTTTTTTTTTTTTAATTTTATGTGGTGGGTTTATTATTGTCTTTTTATGAATATCAGCAGAATAAAATCTCATGAAGTCAACACAAATCCAGTGGTTTAAATTTGGCAACCACTCTTTGACCTAAACTTCACAAATATTCAAGTTTACTATAATGTGGATTTTCAGAGATGAGTAGTAAATTCGTTGCCCTTTTGTTCATTTGGTACAACGTTGTTCCTGGACAACTTTTTCACCTTTTTCCATCGTGTCTCTCTGTTCCTCTTCCTCCCCTCTCCTGTCCCTTTTATTCTCCTTCAAAGTTTCATCCTGTGAATGTGCTGAAAACAGACACTTTTTGGCTGGAGAGAAAAGTTCTCTCTCTTTCCAATGCCTCTGAACTAGAACCACATTCCAATCCTGTGGTGTCTTTCTTCTGTTTATTTGCTAACCCACTTTCAGAATCTGAGTACATTGAAACAAATTTAAAGAGTTTGAGGTACAATGTGTTCTTTTCTGTCTCAAAATAGATCAACAATGGTCTTATTTCTTAATAAACAGAGACAATCCAAACTCCAGAGGCAACAAATTAATCGGTTAGAAAGTTATGTTTTTTGAAGATAGAAATCTAAAACCTTCTATGTAAGTCACTCGATCGAACACCATATATTACACCTTTGACATGGTCTCAGAACATTGGACTTATCTCACAGTTATTCCATGGTTGTTGGCTACAAATTCTGCCTTGAAAGTTATGCAGTAGTGTATCGACATATATGTATGATTTTCAGTCGCCTTTCTTTAGTTGAAATAGCATGAGTGATCTATCTCTTTCGCTTGGACTTGAGAGAGGTTACGGATTGTGAGTTGCTATGCCAGTTGCGCTTCCTTTGGTTGATGAACCAGTTGTTGATTTGCTTCAACTGAAGGCCAGTCTCCTCCACAAGTTTCGCCTTATCGTCTTCCTGCAAATAATCGTAGAAATTTATGCCCTTTAAATCCATTCAGTACATCAAATTAATGTTGGAAGTGGTGTACTGAATCTTACCTTGATGCATCAATATCATAGTAGTTATGTTCATCATCCAATAAATATTACAACAGTTATGGGATGCATAAACACATTCAAATGAAAATTTTCAGAAAAACTTCATTTGTGTATGAATGCTTTGATCATGCTTGACAATTTAATGATTTGACAAAAATTATTTGCGTGTGGACGGCTTGCCAGTCATAAACTGACATGTGGCTTACGTAAAGTCAATCGTTTAGATCCCTAACGATTGAGACCAAGAGACATCATAGACTAAAAGTATACGACGAGCAGAAGTGTGTTTTATGTCGAGTGTAACTGTCATCGAAGTATGGACATGGTGCAGTGTGCTGATGTGATAGGTCATCATTATTGTCTTGTGCATGAGGGTTCGAACTTAACAGCCAAAAACACAAGGCATGATATTTTACCGTAGCCGAATACCCCTTGGGATACCCAGCTGACATTTTGGGGTCTACTTTTAAATGCTCCGCAATAAACTGCGTGCACTTTATTGTATTGTAGAGCACTTTATTGTAGAGCACTCGATGCTCGGGAGGGTGAAACTATAAATACACAGCCCATCTCAAGATTGACTACAACTGTCTCACCATCCAGCATTAATGAGGCGTGGCAGGGAGACACTTATTACCCTGAACAATGGTTGTAGGCTGTCAGGCCTAAGATTGGCACTGGAGTGGATGCCACATAGTCATAATCAAAGGTATAAATGACCCCATTGAAATGGGCCTAAGGTATGCATGTTAAAATGGCTCTGCAATGTACACTATCTTTCAGACTTGAGGATCGGAGGGATAAGCCGGATGTAACCGTGGCCCCTTTCTGACATTGTTTCTTGTATTAGGATTCAACGTCGAATTCAATTATTATATCAAATCTTTGCAAGAAATCACTCGTGCAATCAGATATGTAAGTAATCATTCGAGGCTTACAGTTGGGTAAGGCCACTTAGAGTGTTGCTGCCACCAATCCTTCAGTACTGAAGTCGTGTCACCAGGTAATTTTCCTGCCCTTCTTTTTCTCAGTATTTCCTCCCTGACATCTTCAATTTTTGACCTGAATCCCTGAAAAAACAATAAGGAAGCGGAATGCAGTTAGATGCTATCCAAGGACTTTATAGTGTGACAGTTCAGGCATCCATTGATCAGCATTTCTGGAAGTAAGTTTTTATTTTAGAATGCTAAAGTTGCTAACTTTGTCCTGTTCACATTAAAAAGACATGCTATTTAAAACTGCTAGTCTAACCGAATGATTCTGCTGTATTGAAATTTTATGATCTCGCTTGTCAGAGTTCTTGTATCTTCTCACCTGCTTGAGCTCAATCTTCAATTCTTGGCGAACTCTCTCCATCAGAGATCTTTCAGATTCGGTTGGAAGCAGTGGACCGAACCCCATCATGTCCAGACCCTCAGAGCCAGATTGATCTAAAGAGAAATCCATTTGAAGGTCATCCTCATCGTCTGACATAGTCGCGCCTGTTCCTTCACCCAGAGTTCCTCCTGAAAACGCCATTGTTTTAGAAAGTCTTTCTAGTTTTTGATCAAATATTCTCTCAGGTTTTCTCTTCAGCAGAAGTAGCAAATATACATAGAAACCTAATTATCAGGCTGTTCAAAATTGTGCAAAAAATGAGCCTGTGTTCCCATCAAAGGTGTATTGTGTATGCCTTGATCTGTATTGTACTAGTTTCACATGGGCATGTGTTGATCCTACTATATTGGGATGTGAGATGACTTTACTTTCACATGTATGCAATTGCGATAGTATGTTTCTTAGTAGATTAGGACTGTGTTAGCAGACGCTTTGTTTGGTCTTTGGGCGTGTCAGGAGCTATATTGTATATCCTCATTTTCACTTAATGGAAGCATGATTGCCCTCAGCAACAGGGAGATTGTTGTGATTCAAATCTCCCTCAACAACACCTGTGATTCAAATTTTAAGCAACACGACCATTGCAACTGTTTTGATGGTGTTAACAGACCATTAAAAAAGGTTCTGTCCATTCATTGAATGGGTGTCTTAGGCATCTATAATGAAGGGCATTCGACTATACTAGTTCAGAATTATCACACCCCTACTCTGAAGTTTCTCTTTCTCTCTTCACTATCAATGCAGTTTTCTCTCCCAGGGATTGCTGCTTAAGTTACTTCATCAATCTGTGACCAACACGTGAGTGAACAAACTAGCATCGATAACGAGGCGAGTTCATCCAGCAAGTCCATTCTTATCGAGACTTGATCCCCTTTTTTTAATCTTTATCACATGTATAGTAATATGCAACACATATAAATGTAATGTATTATTTCTGTACCAAAATGCATGGAGAGCACGCCGATGCTAAGAGCCCCATTACAATACTCAAATATACTTTTTCGGTATCCTATTCTTCTACTATATACTTTTAACGTGTAAATTTTTTATTATTTTTATTGTTTAATTTTATTTTTTTTTGATTAATAGTTATAGATTATGCAAAATAAAGTCAATAGATGAATGGTGTTTAGTACAGTACCTTCTTCAGTGGCATAGCCTTATCCATGTCTTAGAGGCGCGGGGGGGGGACTAATTTCCACTCTTGCACCCGCTTAAAAAAATCTGTTCATTTTTTGTCTATCCCCACTAATGGGGTTATTTTTCATCCCTATCTCCGTTCATAGGTAAATTTTAATCCCTGACCTCAGTCCCGACAAAGTCTAATATAATCCAACATTCTACATAATTCAATATAATTATATAATATAACCTTATCCTGCCAGATAAATTCAAATGAAAAAGCTAAGGTTTACCAAGATCCAACAAAAAAAGATGTGTCTATGAATATAGTTGATGCGCACCGGTAAAGAATTTCAACTAGCTCTATCAAAAACACTTTATCACAGCCTTTAACTTTAATTCTTCACTTAAAACCATTAGAATTTTTAATATCAGATAAATAAGCAAAATGGATATTGAGGTTTAACTTACAGTAAAATGTACCTATGAGTTGATAATTAATCACAAATTGTACCTAATCGAACAACGATGAAAAAAATCCTAATTATAAAAAAAGTAAGAACACCCACAAAATCCCAAAAACTCATACTTTAGATTGCTAAAAAATCCAAAGTAGAATTCACCGTGCCTGAAATGTTCAAATGGTATAAGCAAAACCAATATTCCTCCAAAAAGTGGCCAAATTAAAGCAGATGATAGCATTTCTTTGTCTTCGACCAGGCACTAATAAGATATTTGTCCTCTTTGTTACGGGCTAACTACATCTTTTCTCACTAGGCAGAAGATCTTCCTTTCAACTTATAAGTCACCATTTTCACCTTCTTTTCATCTGGAATGTCCATGTAGTCGAATAATCTCTCCACTTTAACCAATCAATTAAAAAAATATTCAATATAAAGATGACCATTATAACTGAATAGGTCAACTTTCAAATGAAAATCTCTATACTCACAGTCAGGATTCTTATAGCCCGAAGTGTTACCAAGCACTTATTCGTTGTCGTCGTCATCGCTGGAATTTACGATAGATACTGCACGAAAAGGTACGCCACGAATATTCTATCTTGCCGAATAGGCAAGAAGACGATCTCAAAGGAATTAAATACGAGTTTTATCGTTTTTCTACACCCTCTCTCAATCGAGATTTTGGTTTGGACCTGAAGCCAACTAAGCAACCATAACCTACAACTCTTATAAGGCCTATTGGTTATTTTACTGGAATTTATGGGTACGTTGCTCCTGTTGTTGTTGAAAATCTAAGAATTCGATTCTCTTAAGAACCTTTTTTCACATGATTACTATCATAAAAAAGTTGTTACCACTTTGTTGATTAGTCATCTTTTCAAGTTAGTCAAAACTCTATACCAATGGACACAATGGTGAACAAAAGGGCACAAGAAAACTATCGTTTCATGGTGCAAAAAATAAAAATACTCTGAATCCACATATAAAACAATTGAAGAACACTAAAATATATTGATTATGAAATTTGGATACTTCAAATGATTAGACCATCTCTAATCCTTATCCTTTTTAAAATCTAAATTTAAATTTAGGTAAAAAACTCATAAAAATTTTCTCCAATAATAGACCTATATTCATATCAAATAAAAGGAAATTCATTTTTTTACTCAAATTAAAAAAGACTTAAATCCATACCTAAATCTTAATCTTCAATTGTGATATTACACTATCTTTTAAAAATCTAATAGTCATATTTTATCTTTTATTAAAATTAGATTGTATTAATTTAAATTTAAATTTCTCTACCATTAAATTTGGATTTCAACATTAGAGAGGTTTATACTAAATCAAATGTTTTATCCTTTTGTTACTCAAACTTAGATAAGAGTTTAGGTTTTCATTAGAGATGGTCTTACGTAAAGACCCTTGACACAAGCTCAAGAAGGTCTCCTTCTAGATTCCGCTTATCTCATTTAATACATCCCTCAACTACTCATATTAATATTTTTATCATCTTTCAACTACTTAATTTAATATATTTTTAAATCATTAATACTATCAAGACATAATTTAAGGAGATAATGTATTAGGACATAATTCTGAGACTATAACTCAGAACTCTTTGGGCATATCGAGGACTAAGTTGTATGTATGGATAAATATTTCTAGCATGTTACTGTTCTATGAGGTAACTTTTTATACCTTTCATGTTTTCAGTTGCTTCATAGACTATTCTGACCCACCAATGTAGGTTAACTGGTGGTTGTCATTAACACCATTTACAATCTCTAACTTCCATGACAAACACCAACTTCCTAATCTATCACATTTGTACTCTCTTCAATATATTAAATCTCATTGGCTTGACAATATGACTAAACCCTAGTGCATAAGATAGGAGCTAGCAAACAAAAGTCGTGCATCTTTACAAATCCAAAAGTCATCAATCAAAGAGAAAGTATTCTGGAAAACCAAGTATTCTTATATGCAACCCAATCAGTTGTTGGTTTGTTGTCAACCTTTGTTCCCTCCTCCATCACCCAACTAACCAAACCCTCCTAACTATAAACTAAAATTTGTTGGCTGGTCCCACAACACCCACCTCTTATAAGGGGAACACAAACTTGTAAGAACAACCATTTTTCCTTTTCTTATATTCCTGCCTACCAAACGCTTCAAAATCATCAAAACAAACAGTGAGAGAAACAAAAACAATTCCAACCCAAAACAAGAGGACATAATATATGATACATCCCTTCTGGTTACAATCACTTAGGAAACCATTATATTTATAAAATATATATATATATATATATACATATATACTCTGCAAGTACTGTAATATCTAAAAGTAAATCAGTATGTAATATACGAAAATATGTATTATTAATTGATTATGCAATTGTACCCATGTAATGATATATGCAGAGCCTAGAGAGAGATTGGAGGTTACCAGTTAGAACTTGTAAGTTCTGTTCAATTTCACGGCACGCCATGACAGCTTCAACAGCATGGACTCTGACATGTTGCTGAAGCTGTTCTTTAAAGGAACACAGAACTAACAAATACTGTGCCTGTACAAAGTATAAACACCACATAAATATAACCTAAAAAAAATAACAAAAATACAACAGATTTTAGAAAAATCTCCAAAGGGTACTCCAATAAAAGTTTGCTGTTTTTTTTGTGTTCTTGTTTTGGGTTCTTTATGATTTCGAACACCAACTAAATTTGAAATAAATAAGAAAATAAAAACCTACCAAGAAGTTGTCAAGCTCTTGCCTTTCATGGGGAGAGAGAGGATAATTATGGTGCTGTTGCTGCTGTGAAGCATAAGACCTAAGAAGATGGTGGGATTGTGAAAGCTGAGCATCAATAAGGGGCAACTGATCGATAGGTGTAGCCACACGAAGACAAGCTACGTGGGCTGAGAGAAGTTGCTCATATAGAGGGTGGGTGGCGATCTCCGCCTTGAGTTGTCGGCGCTGGTCACCGGAAACTTCCATGGAAACGTCGGTTAAGCCACCAATTCCACCGCCACCACTAGTACCCATCATGCTTAGACCTTGTTCTTGCATTTCTTATGCACAAGAACTGTAAGTTTTTGGGTATTTTACGAATCAAAGTAGAGGATAAGTAGTGGAAGAACAGATCATGTGAACAAAAGGGTTTGTAGAGAAAGCAAAAGGGAATGTGGGGTTGAGTTTCAGGACCACAAAGGAGTCTCTTGTATTCGAGTATAAGCTATATATGGTGATGAGATTCACACTACTGTGGAGATATAGAGAGAGAAGAGAGCAAACAGTTTTCTTGTTATTGGTGTGAGCAACCTCTTATATTGGGATCTGTGACACAAAACTTTCTGCACCAGTTCTGTAGCTACAGATTTTAACATACACAAAGAAAAAGAAAGATGAATTTCTGCTGGCTAAATACAGATACGAGAAAGAGATGAGAGAGAGAGAGAGAGAGAGAGAGAAAGGGGGGGGGGGGGGGGGGAGTTTTTCAACTTCTGATTACTTTTGTCTGTTTTGGAAGTCCTTGAAAAATGAGTTGAGAGAGAGAGAGAGAGAGAGAGGGGTCAGGTAAAGAGATCAAAGATAAAGCTGCATCTGTGGTCTGACATTTTGATGAGCACTTTTTGCTTTTCTTATTTTTGGTTTTTCATTTTTGATAGTGTGAGATATTACAATCCTTTACTAAACCCAACTTGAGTTCAGGTTAAGGATAGAATTAGGTGGTATTAATCTTGGATTATCAGAAAGATTAGGTGCCTTTTGAGAATGAGTGAGAATTAATTAATTAATTTTACGAATTGATTGAGGGAGTGATGTGGGCACTCTTCATAAAAGGAGCACTCCCTTCAAGCCTATATAAGTATCATTGACCCAAATTTCTCCTCATTTTTTTTCTTCAAACTAATGTTATCCAATTTTAATAAAATTCAAAAAATTACAACTCAAATATATATTATCTTTTAAATGAGTAAGACCCACTCATTTAACACTCATCTAAAAAATAATATGTATTCAAAATATATATATATATATATATATATTCAAAAAAAAAAGAATAATATATATTCGAGTTATATTTTTTGAATTTTGTTTAGATTGTGTAATATTTTTCTTTTTTACTTCATTTTTTTTTCTTTGTAGACGATTCATCAATAATAATGAGGGGTTTACTTTTATACGATACTAATTTTGATGGTAACTTAAGTGATAACAGAAACGAGTTATAAATTAGTAAGTCCTTAATTCGAACCTTGATAATCTCTTATGCTCCATTTGTAATGATGGAAAAATAAAAAGATGAAAAATTAGAAGGATAGAAAGTTGGAGGGATAAATAAAATATCATATTTGGTAAAGAAGAAAAATAAGAAGGATGGAAAAGTGCATAGATTAATTTTCCTTCCAACTCATCAAAATCAATCCCTCAAAAATCGGAAGGAAAGTGAATGAAAAATTAATTATTTATGTTAAGATGTATCTTATTTGTCTATATATTATGTATATATTAATTTTATATAAAAATATAATGATAAAATATGTATATATATATATATAAAATAAAAATTTTGAATTAATAAAAATATTTTTTTCATCTTAATTAGGGATGAAAATTTTTGACTCAACAAGATGACATGACTCGAACTAGACTCAAATTTTATGACACAAACTTGAAAATGATCTGACACACAAACAAAAAATATAAAAAGCTCATAATTTTAAAACTCAACACAAATCTGACACGACACGATTCAATTGTTACCCCTAATATTAGACAAAAAAATAAAAAAAAATTAATCATTTTTATTTTTCATCCATCCAACCAAACACAAATGAAGGAAAGTGTATCATTCTTACTTTTCATCCTTAAAAGATAGAAAATATATCCCTTATACTTTTCATTATTTTTACTTTTCATCATTCTTATCAAACGGAGTATTAGGGACAGCCTATGAGGGATCTCTCATAGATACCCTAATTCAAACGTGGATAGTCTATTATTGATCGGACCGAAAAAGAGAATTAATCAAAATTCACGTAAATTAGTTCTAATATTTTTTATCGTTGAGCCAAAAAAAAAACGTTATATACAAAAACAACCACTTGAATTCATGTTGAATGACCGACCAAGAAAACAAATAAAGAACAAATGTGTTAGAGAGACTCTCACTCTAGAATAATTGTTCAACGTTTTGTTTGGGATAGCTAGGTTGTATTATTAATGACTTAAAACAATTGACTTATCGAAAAACACAAGTCGTAATCTTGTTTAGCACCCAATTGTCATTGCTTGTATTATAAAAAAAAAATAGTATAATTCAAATATCTAGTAGATGTAACAACTTTATTTAAATTCAAGATTATATAAGTCTCATTAAATATTTTATTTTTTTTAAGGAAAAAAGATTTTACATCCATATCATGCTTGTTGTATACTCAAAGAAAGAATAGTAAACCTTGTTGTCTAAGCAAAAAATGAAATAATATTATTTTCTCCTCACACCCATTTATACTTAAATATTTCAACAATTAAAAATAACTTTTTTTGTTTATTGCGTCTTCCCAATTTAATAAAATTTTTTGAACTTAAATTTTAAAAATTTTGTACATATACCCTTCTTCACGTTTCATATTGACGGGAGTCTCGTTTATTGTTTATTTTTTTTGAAATTATAAAACTAACTATTTCAACAATTAAAAGTAATTTTTTTTGTTTATCTTATCTCCCAAATTAATAAGATTTTTTGAACTTAAATTTTAAAAAATTTGTACATATTTATTTGTTTTGAAATTGAAAAACTTACCATGGCACATTTATCTATGCACTAAATAGTCAGTTCATTAAATGGATGCTCCATTAATAATAATAATAATAAATAAATAAAAAGGATATATATCCAAACCTACCAAGAGTATATAAGTAGATTTATTATTATTATTAAAAAATCGGCTGAGGGTTGAGCTGTCACTGTTATGCCACTTTGGCTGGTGTTGGCTTTAGGTCATAGTCCTTTTTCTACGTTTTTTTTGGACCTCAGCCTAGTGAAGAAAATATGTGCATGGTAGCTGTTTGTTGGGCCACATATGACTCCTCACCCACCACATATTCTTACCTCTATTATATTGTGTAAATTAAGATGGCGTGCAAGTAAGGTATTACATATTTCTATCAATAATCAAATAAATAATATATATATTTATTGAAATATTTTTCCTCATTGTAACTTTTATTTGAGTGTGCCTTTTTTTAATCATCAAAGGTATCTCAACTAATTCTATTTCTGCTCTAGTTAAAATCAAATCATTTATGCCGGAACTAAAATATTCATGAAAGATAAATTATTGATGAAGTGACTCAAATGATTGTCAAGATTTGAACTCAAGGATACAACAAAACCCCAAAAAATAGGATATTTGCATGATCAAGATATATCTATAAAACACATATATTTTTATATTTGTATTATTATATAATAACTTGATAGCTATAATTTTTAGTGTAATAATAAAAAACATTAATAATTTTTATTTTTAAAAAGTCACATATTTTCTTACTATAGCACATATATACTAAATTGTTTGATAAGAAGTGTTTATTGTTAAGTTTATAGTGTAATTAACTCATTTATATTTTTTAATCATGTGATAGTGAATTATATTTTAAAAAATATCCACGTGTGTTCAAAGTTATATAGATTATTGTTGATGTATTACATTATATGTGTTTATTTTTGAAAATGTTTGGAGCGTAACCAAAATATATCATTAAGTATCCGACGAATATTATATCTGATACGATATTCAATACGAATATGTCGATCCTTAACGAAATATTTGTGTTTCATAACTTATTAATATGCAATGGGAGAAGTGTCAAGTATACAAACATTTAATTTTGCGTGCAAAAAATACTATTACTTAGAATTTAAACTGTTGATGTTCAAGTCGTACCGGAACAACTTTACCGGTGCATTAAGGTCGGCCGGCACCCTTAAGACTCTAATACCATATTGAAATCCTAAAAAAAATCTAAAAAGTTTATGCTAAAGCAAAGGGGTGTAAATGTATTTTTGAAAAGTATTCCAACGTCAAATTATTGGTCCACCAATGTGTGATGTACCCGGAACTAACACGTCTCTTCGGAGTAAGGGCCATTTAAAAATATTTTTAAAAAAGACACGTGTCCTTAAAATGAGTAGAAAGCATGAAAACTCCATGCATCCACAATAGAGAATTGTAAAAGAAGTTCCGGAAGCAAGGCCGAGCCGAGCCGGTTGCGGTGGGGTCAGCGTCACAGCTGTAGGGTTGTCATATTCTCAGTCCTAATTGATTGCGAAAGGGCCTAGAGTGGTCCCCTAAATAAACCCTAGAGAGAGACAGAGAGAGAAAAGAGAAAGTATATGGTGTGGTCGCTTTCAGAGTCCCCCACATATCCTGACCTTTCCTTTTCCTTCTGTTTGATCATATTTCTTCCTCCTTTCTCTTGCATTCTTCTACAACCTCGTTTCTCTTGCATTCTTCTACAACCTCGTTAGTGTCACCTAAATCAAATCAATCCATCCCCCTAATTATAGATTAGATTAGTTAAATTTATTGGTAACCTAATCCTAGTCGATATCTATTTTGAGATTAATTTACAACTCACTGGTTATGCATAGCTCTGTTTCAGCTTAATTTTATGAAATAATAATATATAATATATGATGAAATCAACTGTACTCGTCACCATACCTCAAACTGGTTTAAGGATATGTTAGTTTAATGACATGGGCTCTTATATATGATGAAATCAAGTGTTCTGTCACTGTAATTCAAACTACATACCTCAAACTAGTTTAAGGATATGTTAGTTTAATAACATGAGTTCTTATATACGATAAAATCAAGCGTTCTGTCACTGTAATTCAAACTAGTTTAAAGTAAGTAACAAGGGTGGTTGACCACCTTTAGAGGGTACGAGAAGTATCGAATTTAAGATCTTGTAGATAAATTTGACCACTAGACCACCGTTAAAAGTTGCGTGTAATTCAGATTTAGATTGTATATTTAACATATTTAAACTTG